TACCAATGAGGACTCTGGCCTGGGCGATCCGTCGTTCAATCCTTCTTTTCCAGGCTGGTTTCATATTATCCCTTTGGATATTACGTCCAGCCCGGGGCATTTTTGCGCCGGTATATCGGCATACTGCCAACGCAGCGCCAAACAGGATTGAACTCGTCTCTCCCAGGTCACCGCTGCCCTCAAGGTACTGAGGCAGCAGTCCATTTGTGGCCTCAATGGCATCCCGCGTCGCCACATTTGGATATATCCGGGGAAGCTTCGGTCTCTCTTCGAGGGGAGTTCTTCGGATCTCTAGAATCGCCTCCTCTAGTATGCTCCTCATATGCTCTATATCCTGGGAAGTTGTTCCGTCCGCATCCGCTTCTGAAAGCGTTTCGGCAACCACCTCTACGCTAGGTAGCACGTCTGAGATGGGTTGCTCTACGGTCGCGGAGTTTGCTTCTGGAACAACTTCACTTCGCAATCGTTCGAGTTCGGTCGCGCTAAACATACCAGAGCGCTGTATGTACCGAACTCTGTCGGCTAGGTTCTGTTCCGAGACGGTTAGATCCGGTAAAAGACGCAGAAACTCGCGGTGCATTACTGCCCGGTATCCTGTTCTGCCTGTTTCTGTCCCTGTAGCCCTGAAGAACGCACGCATGAGGTCCTCATTCATGGCTCTTGTCCACCTCATGCGACGTGTACCATCAGTGGCGGGCACCGATTGCTGGGCCTGTGACGGCCCTGCCGGCGCCAAGCCAGCTGATGTCGATGACGAGGGGTCGGACCGGCCAGGTGGTGGGGCCGGTCGGCTGGCTCGCATTCTGCCGCGCCTACCGCCAGTTGTAGACGCGCCCCGGCGACCCCCGGGCAGCGACCCTATACTCTCTCCGTTATTATTATTCGCCATCTTTATTTTTGCCATTGCCCCTTTAGCCGCGTAGGTTTAATTTATACGCGTGACCGCCTTCCACGTGAGCTAGATGGTGAGCTCGGACGCGGGGTTGGACTTTGGAAGGCTTATTATTATTTTTTAAATTTCACTAAAATTCTCATCTCCCCTCTTAAGGAGAGGAGATGGCAACTAACCCCCGGCAGAAGCACAGTCGGCCGGGGTTCAGGGCCCCAGGGAGAGAAACCGGCGTACAATGCGGGCAGAATCTAAGAGCACCGCTTTCTGCATCTTTCCCGGGAGTGAGCCGCCTCGGAATCCCAACCGTCTGAGATGTTGTTCCAGACTGGTTGGGATAAGACCGTTCACCGACATAACGATTGGGATGATTTCGGTAGATGTCACCCCCCACATTTCGGTCACCTCGTGAGCCAGGTCGAGATATTTTCTCTTCTTCTCGGTTTCGGCTTTCACGAGGTTCTCGTCATGCGGTATGGTGACATCCACCAAAAACACCCTCGAGAGTGCCCGATCCATCACCACGATATCAGGTTTGTTCGCAAGAACGGTCCTGTCCGTGATGATGGATCGGTCCCAGTAGAGCCTTACGCTGTCGCTTTCGAGGACCGGCTGGGGCTCGTACTTATAGTACGGCAACCTCTCATTCGCGAGGCCGTACTTCAGAGCTAGCTCTTGATGGAGTATTTTGGCTACCTGGTTGTGTCTGTGCAAGTACTCAGTGTTGGCAAGAGCTGAACAACCCGAAAGCACATGTCTGAGTGACTCTCCGGGATGGCGACATGCCCGACAGATGTCCTCAGTGCCATCCTTCAGAATGTGCTTTCGGTAATTGTTCGTCTTAACCACCTGATCCTGTATTGCACAGACAAAACCCTCGGTCTCTCCGAAGAGATCACCGAACTGTAGCCAGTGCACGGAGGTCTTCGTGTTTACGTACGGCCCGTGAAGGGCTTTGAAGAACCTTCCGTGCAACTCCTTCTCTTTCCATACGGCCTCCCGCTGAGAGGTACCCAAAACTTCGGGTTTTCGCCAGTCCTCTTTAGCCAGGGAAAGAGGGGTGAATCCTTTGTCACATTCTATGACCTCTCTATGCAAACCCTCGTCTATTTTCTCCAGAAAATATGTCCTGAGGCTGTCAACCTCGCGGTTGTGCATGGTCTTAACACTTAACAAGCCTCGACCACCAGCCTTCCGCGGGATATACAGCCTCATGACTGACGATTTCGGGTGATGCATTCTATGGAGGGTCATAGTTGTGCGGACTTTCCGATCCAGGGCTTCGAGATCGGTTTGAGACCATCTGAGCACGCCAAAAGTGTAAAGGAGTACGGGTATGACCCAGCCGTTATAAGCTCGGATTTTATTGGCGCCCGACAAAGAACTTTTCAGTACTCTTGTAAGGCGCGCAAAAAATTCCTCGCGGACTGACTGTTTCATATCCGTCTCCTTCACACCGATGTTTTGTGACATGCCCAGATACCGGTATGTTTCAGCCTCGGAGAGGGTTTTAATATTAGAGGGATCTGTGGCGATCTCTTCAGTTTGAGTGACCCGTCCCCTCTGCACATGGAGGACCGCGCACTTGTCTATTCCGAGCGCCATCCTAATAGAGCTGCTATAATCGTTTACGATATTTAGCAGCTCCGTCAGGCGTTCGACGCTCGGAGCTAGCAGTTTCAAGTCATCCATGTACAGAAGGTGAGACACTCGTGTACCTCCTCTCCGATACTGAAATCCAGTCCCCGAATTCTCCAGTAAAGTACTGAGTGGATTCAGGGACAGGCAAAACCAAAGTGGACTCAAACAATCGCCCTGGAATATTCCCCTCTTTATCTCTATCCGGTCAGCGGTATCCGTCAATCGCTCGCCCTGGATAGTCAGGGTCGTCGTCCACTGCCCCATGCATGCCTCCAAGAACACTCGAACTGTACCGTCGATCTTGTACAGCTCGAGTATCCTCCGGAGCCATGAATGGGGCACGGAATCGAACGCCTTTTTATAATCTATCCAGGCGGCGGAGAAATTCCGACGGTTCCGCTTGACCACGTGGCCAGCGACAGCATCAATGAGGAGCAGCTCCTTCGATCCGCGGCTACCGCCCCTGCATCCGTTCTGAGCGCTAGATAGGATCTTATTCTCGTACACATGACGAGAGATCTTAGCGCTCAGAACGGATGTTAACGTCTTATATATTGTCGTAAGACAAGTGATGGGGCGATATTTAGATGGATCCGCGGTATCGTCCGTCTTAGGAGCTAAATGAGTGATCCCGGTTGTAAGGAAGTTCGGGAGCGTCCTGTTTTCGATTATATTATATTATTATTATTATTATTATTATATATATATTCAAAATTTTAATCGATTGGTTGAACCGTTAATATGTCATAACATAGCGTATAAACTACTTACTCATTTTTACATTCAAAATATTAGTAAGAATGAATGTAATAATGTCAGGTTTATGTGAAAAGATAATTTATAACGCAAATATGTATTCATATTTAACAGCAATATTTTATATCTGTCAGTAATTACTGAATGTCTTATTGAAAGAGACTGTTGCCAACGTCCATACCACGTTGAAAACACCGGTTCTCGTCCGATCACCGAAGTTAAGCAACGTCGGGCGCGGTCAGTACTTGGATGGGTGACCGCCTGGGAACACCGCGTGACGTTGGCTTTTTTGCCCTGATAGTTTTAAATTAGTAGAAACGAATTACGGATAATAAATATTTGACACTAATATGCCCCCATAGCATAGTTATTATTAAGTTTTTTTTTTGAGTTATCAAACAAAACCCTCGTTTCTAAAAAAATATGCAAATTAACTAATCCCCATTACATTTTCTGCGTTATTTGGATTTTGCTTAGACGGTATCAATATTAAAAAAAAGTTGTAGTGATAGTAAAAGAAATCTTATAACATACTATTCAATGATTAAAATTAATTTTATTTTAATTAGCTAAATAACAAATCGTTTAATTTAATTGCACAGGATTTCGAACTGGAAATATATCTAGAAATGTATTTTCAAAATAATTATTATATAGAGCATATAAAATATAGACGTCACTAATATTAGGAAAGCGTCCAATGTGATAATTATTTATACAATAACATTTGCCAACGTCCATACCACGTTGAAAACACCGGTTCTCGTCCGATCACCGAAGTTAAGCAACGTCGGGCGCGGTCAGTACTTGGATGGGTGACCGCCTGGGAACACCGCGTGACGTTGGCTTTTTTTATCGATATTTTTATATCAATATTTTAGTAATGAAAGTATTATTGTAAATTGTCAATCTATGTTTTTTTTTTTTAATAATTTATTTATTTGTAACGTTGGCTTTTTGCACTTTCATTTATTTTTATATTTTACTGGTTGATACCTGTGCCCGGAGCTGTATTAAATATTAATAAGTAATTATATGTGCCTATTTAGTAACTCTACATCGGAGCTATAAAAAAAGTATTGATTGCTTAGCATTAATTTGATTTCTTCAGCGACAATAACAAAATGTAAGTACAATGAAACATACATGGCCCAAGTTTACTCTATCTGTCTTCGTCGCAACTGGCACATCCTTTCTCTTCTTTACTCAATTCTTTTTAATCCACCTCATTATTTAAAAGAACGTTTTATATTTCTTGGTGAGAGCAATTCTTTGTATTACTCGTAATTAAAATAGTTTCCACAAAAAATCGATTTCATTTGTGGCAAAACCAGTTATGTAAGATCTCAAAACTAAACTGTTGAAACGATTTTGATAAAATTTCTATGGGACCAATCTGTAAGCATATTCGTTCAAATAAAAAAAAAGAATTTTTCAAATCGGTTTATAACTGACGGAGTTATGAGGTAACAAACAAAAAAAAAATCGATTTGAAAACCTTTTTGAAATCGTCTAAAAAAAGCGTAGTAAGTCTCCTGTTTTCTTCTTCGGAGGAGACCAGTGACCAGCGATGCGACGTAATGTGGTTGTTTCTGGTAATGACATGTTTATCCACCAATTTTCAGCGGAGTAATGCGCAAAATTAGAAAGAAACCAAAATAGATTTTCTAGAAGACATTCCACACTACGTAGTTGTATGTATTGTACAACTTACGTCATTTCTCCCGCCGCCAGCCTTTCCCATGGCGGCAAGGAAACCAATGTCCTTCAGATTCTTCCACGTGAGATCTTTCCCTCTATCGTAGAAGCCCTTTCTCTCGAAAAGCAACTTCAAAAGAGCAACCGGTTGTTGTGTGCCATATGTGTCAACCTGATATAATAATTGAATATTAAAAATGTAATACACAATTGCATTAAACTTTTAACATATTGTATTATTATTTGAAATGAAATGAAATGAAATGAAATGAGTTTATTTGCTTAAAATTATTACAAGCCACGTGGTATTATTTTGGCACCTGTTTAATTGACTTAAAAGATGTAAGCATGCAAATATTTTAGATGTTATATAAAAAAGCGGTAAACAAAATTATAATTCAATTATATTTATTAGTGATTCGCTGCAACTTCGTACGGGTGCAATTAATATTGCATATTAATCTATACAAAAGTTTTATTATAATGGATTTATTGCACATAGGTACAAACCTTCCCTATGAAATGAGTATTAAAACCCGTTGCGTGGTTTAAAAAAAGTAAGCGGAAAAAGGAACAGGCGCGGTCAGCGACAATTTTATACTATTTAAAGATTATATTATTATTTTATTGAAATTCAATGTACCTTAGTGTAAAACGTGGACTTACATCATATGGAGTTACTATGATAGATACTTGGAATCAATGACTGGTGTCAATGGTAGACAGGAATAACATTAAATAAGTAAAACTCACATATGGTGTAATATAGTAAGCAAATAATAAAAAAGTGTAAAAGTTATTTACATCTATATTCTAGTACTTCTAGTACATATTATATACATAATGTTTCCCATTGTGGTCAGAAGAAACAATGGAACACCAACTGCTCCGATTCAAACAGATCTCTCTCAATTCCTACCTATTTGGTCGGCATACGTCCATCTGAGGGCCTACCATGAAATGTTTTCTGAAATTTTGGAGCCAAAGGAAACAGAAATTTGATGTTAAAATTACATAATACATGCCGTTTGGAAATATTAAAAAAGTTAAAATATTATTCCTTTGGACTTTTATGATAGGATGTATGACGAACGAAATGTTAAACTCCATTTATTGATCCGATTTTGGTATAAACAAAAACACGAAATTGAGTCCGAAATTTCGGAATTTCATTTCATGGTAGACCCGCTGCTCTCGAAATCTATACTCTCTATTCATAATAAATAGAATGCTCACAATGGGCATGTTCATGTCGTCAATAAACACGAGCATCTTCTTGCCGACGGGCGGGCCGAATGTGTCCTTGGTGCGTTTCTCCACCACCGACTCCAGGTTGCGCTGCACGTCCATCGATGAGGTTCGCGACGAGAAGTTCATTTGTTGGACTAACTATATAAAAAAAGGTCAAGAGCGTGTTGTATTAGATCTGTTTATATACATGCTGTGAGATACGTAACCTGCCATAGTGATCAGGCCTAGTATTATTTGGTTTCGTCACAAAAGTTTGCTATTTTTTTACATAATACGTAATATTAAAAAAAAAATCTAGAAATTGTGCTTATCCATGTGTTTAGGCGATGGTTCCCACTTTTAATTACGTAAGCTTTTTTTTATTTCATTAATTCTTAATGAAAGTTATAATAAAATCCAGACTAAATATCTGTAATTTTTCTGGATAATAAAGACATAATTAATAATTATTATTTTCACACTACATTAAAAATATTTCTTTCAGTTAATAATTTTATTTTTTTATTTGATAAAGATACTTTCTTAATTATACAATACTATCATACCTACTTGTACAACAATTAGTCCATTACCCTAAGGTTGTCTTGAAAAAATTACTCTCAGCAATAAGACCGTCTTACTTATACAATTGTATCGTTGTGTTTGTAAACTGTCTTGCTTATTTCCTATATTATTTAATATACATAAACTACATTCATTCATTCATTGCTTATAAATATTTTATTGGAAAACTCTATCGCCAACGTCCATACCACGTTGAAAACACCGGTTCTCGTCCGATCACCGAAGTTAAGCAACGTCGGGCGCAGTCAGTACTTGGATGGGTGACCGCCTGGGAACACCGCGTGACGTTGGCTTTTTGCAAAAATGTAAGTATAACGTTTTATATTTTTTATACAGTGATTTAGGCTCAGTGACGGAACGATTGATTTTTTGAATGAATTACATATTTTTCTAAACAAAGCAGTTTAATTAAAAAAAAAAAGAATGTCCTCTCGGAAGAGAAAAAAAAAACAAAACTTTTGTTAATTCAAGGAATTGAATTAACAAATGTTTTTTTTGTGGCTAGTTAAAATACAATGTCTCTGAAATAAAATTAAAATCGACTTTAATTTGAATTTAAATTATTATCTTTATTAACTACAAATAAGAATAGATAAAGATATTAATTAATATAATTTAAAAAATAAGTTTGGAGATGCAGGGTATCGATCCCCGTACTTCTCGCATGCTAAGCGAGCGCTCTACCATCTGAGCTACATCCCCATTAGAACGATATATCGAAATAAGGTATCACATTGCCGCGTAGTTTTATTTAAAAAACCAGTTTATTTCTCCGATTTCTGTCACTTCGAATTAACTTCATTTGTTAAAAAAAAAAATTAATATCAATAGTTGGTTACGTAGGTATTTTTCGAATAATAAACTCAATATACTTTAATGTAACATCTTTTATCATCTAGACTTTTAGTTGCTTATGTCTTTTTAGATAATATTATATACTAGATAATACTATATACCGTGACTTCGTCCGCGTTTCCGTCGTTTTTCGTAAAATAAGTATCTTATGTCAGTGGTTTTGCTGTAACAGACTCATTTCCTTTCGCTGCTCGGCTCCAATTGATCGTAGCGTGATGAAAAGTATACTATAAGCTGTCCAGGAGTATGAATAATAATTGTATATATATATTGTAAGTTTCGTTAAAATCCGTCGAGTAGTTTTTGTTTTTATAACGAACATACAGACAGATAAAAATTTTACTGATTGCATTTTTGGCATCAGTATCAATCACTAATCACCCCGTGATAGTTATTTTGGAAATATATTTCATGTACAGAATTGTCCTCTCTACAGATTTATTATAAGTATAGATAGATAGATGTATAAAAAATAAAATAAAATAATGAAAGTTGCAAAAAAGCCAACGTCACGCGGTGTTCCCAGGCGGTCACCCATCCAAGTACTGACCGCGCCCGACGTTGCTTAACTTCGGTGATCGGACGAGAACCGGTGTTTTCAACGTGGTATGGACGTTGGCGACAACGCTACTCAAATCACAGTACAAGATTTAAAAATAAAACTCACGTATTTATCAGCAGGGAGGCCACGTAAGTAGTTCGTAATAATAGCCGTTTTGGAAGTACCCGTGTCGCCTACGAGTAAAACAGGCCTTTCAACCTAAATCACAAAAAAAATGTTGTAACAGAGTGCAAACTTTGTTACTATGTAATTTTTAAAATAAGTTTTTAATTTTCTTTTGTGGGTATATTACGACAAATATTTACTTGATTTTGATGATTCTGTTGTCAATTGATATGATGAATACCCTTGTTCATTCCATAGTAATTTCTTAACGATAGATAAAGCTAATTGTTTACTGCGGTTTTGTTCCCGCAAACTCGAATAAAAAATATGTTATAAAACAAATTCTATTGGAAAGCATTCGGTCGTTTAAGTGTGATGGATTCAAATACACAAACATCCAAACATGTTCACAAATTTTTCAGATCTATAATAACAGTAGGATGTAACAGAGAGTTATCGACCTTGGGGTGGGCGAGGGTTTGCCGAGATTAAAAAATGTAAGAGCTCAGGGCAACATTAGTAAAAGGTGACCTTTTTTTGTCGTCAAAGGCACCAAGTACGCTAAGACTGGCCTTGAGGAGTAGTCACGGGTAATAGGGATACCGATCGGATATCTATACATTGGGGTCCTCTGGACAGTGATGGCGGTAAAAAGGTCATCGCCCATATCGATGTCACCCATATTGGCCGGATGTCTATTTTATCACTTTTATTTTTTGGATAACAGTATTTTAACATATTCACTATTGGACCAGTATATATATATATATATATATATATATATATATATATATATATATACACACATACTTGTAGATATTGCTATATATCATCCACCCCTACTGAGGACGGCCTGTGTTCATACTCACACTCTCCATAATCTTAATGAGCCACGTAAGCCTCAGCGTGTCTACAGTGGGCACTAATATGGCGGGGAACTTCATGTCGCGGTCGTGCTTGTACTGGGGCACGAGCCACTCCCAAGCCTCCCACGTCTTGGTCGTGAGCTCTAGGCAGTAGTCGTACAGGCTCGGGAAACCCATTGGGAAGTGCTCTGTGGAGAATGTATTCATTAAATGACTCGACAGTTGTCGTTATATTTAAAATAGATACATTTTTTTATACAACTTAGAATGGCAAACAAGCTGACGGCCTACCAGATGGAAAGTGGTAACCGTCGCCTATAGACATGAGCAGTACCATGGACATAACAGAGTATACTGTTTCGCCCATGATACCCCCCATGCGTTGCCATTCCTGAGGACTCAGGTGTTATTCCTCTGTACCCAGTACATTCACATTGTTACTTATTACATATGCCATAGCAGTTTGACGACCAGCCAATTGTGTGACATTTATATATTACATTCAATCATACCAAAACATACTGATGAACAACGATATACTTCGTAAATACTTTTGTTGCAAACTCCTTAGTTATTTTATAGATGTTATTTTTAATGTATTTTTGTACTTTGTTGTTTTTACATTGTCACTTTGCTCTTTTTCGCTTTCATAGTCTGTCTTTTGTAGTTTTCTTTATTGTAGTTATTTTCCTTAAAACTCATTGTTTAATTATATCAAACTCATCAACATACAGTCCATAATAACGCCCACAACATTAATGTTAGTGGATAGATTGTAAATATTTGAATTTAGGTATGTGGAATCTTGAAGGAGAAAATATTTAGGACAACTTACCCGACAAATGTTTTGTTCAACTTACAAGTACTCGTACATCAAGATCATAAGATCCGCAAAAAAGTGAATTTAATCATGCAAAAACACATTGATATACAAGATGTTTTGTTCATAATTAAGGTAATTAATTCCACAAAAAAAAACCTACTTCAATTGTGGCAATTTATTTTGATATAAAAACTAAATTACTAAATCGATTTTGATAAAATTTCTAGGGAACCAATCTGTAAGTATATCCTTTCAGATAAAAAAATAATTTTCTTAGTCGAAAATTGACAGAGTTATAAGACAATAAATATAAAAAAAACATAACTGAGATATAATTTGAGAACCTCCTTTAAATTCTGTTGAAAATACATTATATTTGATTGAAAATATATATGTATTTGAATTGAGAACGCGGAATAAAGTGTGTATGAGTACTTTGACAGATAGAAGATTTTGTTTGATAGATGTTTTGCATTACAAGTATTTTCATGCTCCGTAAAACGATCAAAAAATCGTCATAAAATTTTTAAAACATACTTGTTAGTAATTAATTCCAATCCATTTAAATTGCATTGAAAATTATTATCAAAATCGGTTCAGAATTAATAAAGCTATCGGATCATATATACTCGTACGTACGAAAAAATAATCTAATTAAAAAAAGAACAGATTTAATAAGTAAACAACGTACTAGTGGTAGCCTTTTTTTCGGGGTTGTCCTCGACAAGCATCATGGGGCACGCTTTTTTAATGTAGTTGTCGAAGTCGAACCGCCCATCGTCTATAATGGACGCACCCAGACTGTTGTACATAGACTGCATATAAAGAAAATGATTATAGTTTAATACTGTATAGGTATAGTAAAAATTCAATAATGCTTCTCTGCTAACTACGTCCATGGATAATATAATATTATACTAGTTTTTTTTTAATGAAAACGCCCCACCTTCTATATCAGTATAAAATGACGGAGCACCAGTGAGAGATGACAGGTGAGGATGAATGCAGGGCAGTTGGACAATCGTGACGAACTCGACAAAAAATAATCATGACGGTTTCCGGGGGGAACCGTATGGAGGTCAATCTTACAGAGTATATTACCCTAATACCCCCTCCCCATTATAGTACCATTATAGTATAGTAGTACGGATATCTCGCCATATAAAAGGTTATAGCCTAAATAGGCGACTTCGAGAGACGAGGTTTTCCGTAGGAACTACAGTATAGGGTTCTTCAAAAAGGGTATACGAGCATTAAGGATTTTTCATAGTCGGCAACGCGTCCGTGACGCTTCTAGTGTAGCGCCTATGAACGTCTATTCATAGGCTATAGTGACCTTTTACAATCTCAGACTGTGGGCTTGATTGACATTTATCTACGTAGTATAAAGAAATCATAAAATTACAATTAGGCGATGGTGCACCTGATGGGAAGTGGTAATCTACAGTCGCTTACCGACAGTACCAGATAAACAGTACCATGGGCGTCATAGTGTACACTTAAATATCAAAGGACCTTTCATACGTTACTTTTAAGTAAAATTAAGGCCTATCCTTGTATTAAAAAAGATATTGCATGATTTTGAAGATCGTGTAAATGTATGTATGTAATGCCTATATTTGCATATGTACAAGAAAGATATATTATTTTAATACGAGTGATATTTTCTATAATGTGTTTCTAATACCTACTCAATTCTTTTTACTAACTTACTGACATCCTCCTTCTGTCAGGATGAAAAAATTACATCTGTCAGGACATAAAAAAATGACAGTAATGGAAAGTGTTTTTTCTTATGCTACTTATAATAGCAAACAAGCTGAGAACCCACCTGATGGAAAGTGGTAACCGTCACCTATATGTAATCAACAGTTCATCCAAACTACAAATCATACAATTCTCATATAATTTATATAAAAAATAGATGTACCATTGGAGGCGCAGGGTATCGATCCCCGTACTTCTCGCATGCTAAGCGAGCGCTCTACCATCTGAGCTACACCCCCGGTGGTCACCAAGATACAAATGTAACACCGTAACGAATGCAATAGTGGTCACAATCTGAACTGGTTTTTGAAACGTCACAAATATCAGTTACATAATAAACTGTGTCGTTTGACATTTAAAACGTGCTGTATCTCAATACAGTTTTACAACGTTGGATCAATTGATATGTGCTGTTTGTAGTACATATAGTATAGGGTTAAGTTAGTGTTAAACGCACGAGTGTATTGGCAAACAAACATTTTTCTTTTAATTTATTCTGTAGATATTCTCTTTATATACATTTTTTTTATACAACTTAGAATGGCAAATAAGTTGACGGCCCATCTGATGGAAAGTGGTAACCGTTGCCTATAGACATGATCAGTATCATGGACATAACAGTACACATACACACAGTTTCGTCCATGATACCCCCCATGCGTTGCCATTCCTGAGAATTCAGGTGTTATTTCTCTGTACCCTGTAAATTCACGCCATATCCGACCCTTCAAACCGAAACATAGCCATGCAAACACAACTGCTTCACGGTAGAAACACGAATGGGATAGAGGTACCCAAGCAATCGACTTTTTTACAAAGTCTCCCTCTGGTAAAAAATACATATATTTATGTCGATCTTTAAAACAGATAAACATAACTAGCAAGTCAACCTGACATGCTTCGCAAAATATTAGTAATAGAGATTAGAGTACCTATTATTACAGATAATGTAGCTATTATTAACAATTCCTTTACATCCGCTTAAAGCGCTAAAACAAATTTGTTACATAGATGGTAACTCATTCCTTTAGCTAATATAGGAAATTTTTTATTCTTTTATTTTAATGTAACAACTACTGGTTTTAACTTACGTGTAATTTGGTCGAAAACACTCGATTAGTTTCGGGACCATTGCGGATCCTTAGTCTTAAGCAGCTGTGACGTGAGCATGAGTCTGATTGGGCACTTCATCCCGTTGAGCATGAGTTATAGTCGTTCGCGGCATATTTTCTATTCTATCTTATGAGAGCAGAACAGTGGGGTATAACATACTTACCACCATAAAGACACATTCCACCACACTACTATCAATTTCTTCATTGCTGTCCTCTTTATTTGGCATCAAACCGCTGATCATATAACATAACTGGACGACCTACAAAATAAAAAGATATGGAAAGACAAAAAAATTTAGTAGCCTAACTGTACATGGCGGACTTAATGTTAAAAGTTCTAGTCAATATAGGATCATATAGACAGTCATAGGGAAGTGTCAGAATACTTGAATGCGGTACTAGTAATTATTAATGTACGTACATATTAAAGTTACATATCAAAATGAATAAATATATAAAATAACAAATATACTTATACATATATAAATATACTATATTATATACGAAAATGAGAACAATATAAATTTTTGTCAGCATGTATGTTTTTTTGAAAGACGGTTTAGTCGGCAGTCTCCTAATGGTATCAGGAAGCGTAATATCTTAAGGTAGACTCATAAAAGTAAACAAAAATAATAATATAATATATTTTTTTATTATATTATGTATATATTTTTAATGTAGTATGTAAAAACCCCGCCTGCGCTATTGGTAGGACACCAGTGGGTGTTGGCAGGTGAGGATAATATGGGTTTCGCGATGGCTTCTATGGAGAACCATATGGAGACTGATTTAATAGTGTATATTGCTAGCTATTAGACCCCCTAACAATCCCCTTTTCCCCACTGTATATTGTTTTTTTTTAATCAGTAATAATGGAATGGTAATCTCTGCGCTATCGGTATGTAATGACGGGGCACCAGTGAGCGATGATAAGTGAGAATTAAGCAGGTCTGTCCATCCCATCGTGAAGATTTTAACAAGAATTAGCCACAATGGTTTCCAGGGGAAACCACGTGGAAATTGACCCCATTACTAACAATCTTTTTCCCCCACTGTATATTGTTACCTACTTATACTGTGGTAAAACTTACGAGGTTCAGCGGCGTTTGTGGTACAATAGTTTTGAGCGGCGTCTGTTGCTGCAGGCCAAACATACCGAACACTATGTAGTTAATAGCGCCAGGCACGTAATGATCGAACAGACCGGCCAGCTGTTCACGTTCCGCCTCGTTGCTGCGCGTTCGAAGCCAGCTGTCACATATATATTCATATTTGTTTATATACTTTTTTTTTATACCTCTTAGAATGGCAAACAAGCTGACGGCCCACCTGATGGAAAGTGGTAACCGTCGCCTATAGACATAAGCAGTGCCATGGACATAACAGAGTATATTGTTTCGCCCATGATACCCCCCATGCGTTACCATTCCTGAGGACTCAGGTGTTATTCCTCTGTACCCAGTAAATTCACGCCATAATTAAATAAATAATACATTAGTCATCAAGAATAAGAGCTTCAAAATAAGAATTATTGGACACAAAGTGAAATTAAAATAGGATTGTTCATGTCTAGAAGCAACAGTTATCGCTTTCAATCACAGTTGCTGTCTCTTGCCAGTTAGCTATTACAACTCATAATAAAAAAATATATATGTGAGTTTATTGTTTTTTATTTTGAAAATATGCTACAATGTTGACAATAAACTATATAATAAATTGTTCAATCCTTTGAGCGTTGGTATAAATAACTTGCAATTTGAGAATACCAATATATCTACAGTCTCAAAGGCACCGAAAACAGCTTATTGCAGTAATTCATAGGAGCTTATCAGAGTTATGGGATATTCAAAATAATTTTCTAAATTAGGTATTATTAATTGTTTAATTACTATCAGTGTTTGTTAAATAAAATTTTAGCGTACAATTTCACCTGCAGTTAATCGACTACGTGGTTCGATAATATTATTGTTGTTGTAACCGTTAATTGCCTATTGCTGAACATAGCCTCTTTCATAAGGGGGGTTTTTCCAGTAGTTGCCACACTTAGTAGGCAGGTTGGCAACCGCAGTTTGGCTTTTGGTGATGTTTTAAGAGGAGCGCTATTGCCCATCCCTCGATCATAAGCTTCCTTAGTCGCCTTACGACACTCACGAGAATGGAAGAGGGTGATCTATTGTATGCTGGGAGCTACACGGCGAATATTCCGTGTTCCATAATATATTTCAGGTAAACCCAATAATACCTATCATATATTCCTTATGGCCTTAAACCATAGTTCTTATTGTAGAGCAGAAGAGGTACAATGAACACTACAATGCATTCTGTGTTGTCCATAGTTCCTTTTGATATCTAAAAATGACAGTTATCTAGGCAAGAGATACCACTTTTCATCAGGTGGGTCATTAGCCTGTACGTGTATTTAGAATTACTTTAAATAAAACACCACTTGGGATGAGTTTGTATTCAGGAACATAAGTAGTTCTTAGCTGCTCGGATTAGAACTAGTAAGAAGCGAGGCACTTGGTATGAGCAGGTGGAATGACAGACATAAAAATAGATGTACCGTTGGAGGCGCAGGGTATCGATCCCCGTACTTCTCGCATGCTAAGCGAGCGCTCTACCATCTGAGCTACATCCCCGGTGACCAACAAGATACAAATATAACACCGCATCAAAAGTAAAAGTGTTTGACGTTTGAACTGGTTTCTCAAAACGTCACAAATGTATATTGCACAATATTCAAGTTCTACTCGGTAAGCAATTAACCTTGATACAATTTTAAAGATTTAAATCACCATTCGAAATTATTTTTCGTATACACTTAAAATTGTGAAAAAATTAAGTTTAGTGTCCTTTACTAGCTTAGGCAGGTATAATCAGTTTCCAGTAGCAGTGTATGTATTTGTTTGTTTGTAACACTTTATTGTATAGTACAGTACAGTCTTAAATTATAGGATACAGAGTTCTTAAGAAAATAATAAGTATAATGGCGGAGATGTCTCATAAAAGTGAACTTTTGAATGTCTGATAGAAATTGTAAATTGTAGAGACAAAAAAGAAAAATAGGTAATTAAAAAAAGTAGAAAAGTAGTGTATAGTAATAGTGTTGTTGCAATTCGGTCTAAACGATAGTTAAGATAGTAAAATGTTTAGTTGGAAATAGAAAGCAGTAAAGCAGTTGTGTTTGCATGACTGTGTTTCGGTTTGAAGGGTAGGATGTGGCGTGAATTTACAGGGTACAGAGGAATAACACCTGAGTCCTCAGGAATGGTAACGCATGGGGGGTATCATGAGCGAAACAGTATACTCTGTTATGTCCATGATACTGCTCATGTCTATAGGTGACAGTTACCACTTTCCATCATGCGGGTCATCAGCTTGTTTGCTATTCTAAGTTGTATTAAAAAAAAAAAATAACTGCGTACGGTGAAATTTAGATATACAGAATGTGTCTACATGCCTGTGTGGATTGGACACATAGAATTGAGATCACACTGGAGCTCATTGAATACATTACTATTAGGCATTTGAGGTGTTTTGGTTTCGATTGCGTCAAGAAATTTTCATCAGGAGTACCTGCACATTCGTTTAGTCCTTCGAGCCGGATATGTGCTACTTTAATTTGTTACTGTTGAATAGTGTAATAAGTTTTGCTTTTCTCTTAAGAATTCTATAAATTCTTGTTGCAGATAAATTGATAAATACAATACCGGTCCCAATAGGGTTGGTAACCCAAATTCTTCGGATCGACGAACACCATGCCGGCCCTGGAGACGGTCGCTGGCGAGGCATAGTTCAGATCACCCACTTCGAATAGCAGTGAGCAGTAGGGTGCAAGTCGGATGCGTTCACCGTTTGCTAATGTCAGTAGTTTATTATCGTCCATCACTGAATTCATGTTCTCAATCCAGAGGGCGTCCACGTCGCCGTCGAAAAGCGAGTATCGGCGTTCATCTTTTTCAGCTGGTCTATATATATTGAAAGAATAATTAAATAAATGACTGAGGGATATGTGTATGTAACCAAGCCCACTAAATACTTATTTAAGGGGGGAGGGGTCCTTGAATACCAATGTATCTCTAATGTAATGACAGATTACTAATGGTTTACTACATTAGTAGTAAACATTAGTAATTTCTTTTTTCTACTAGCAACCCTAAGAAAACGAAAATAAATGAAGTAAGTAATAAGTGAGGTATTATATATTTTAGTTTCTTTACCTGTTCATTTCGCGAAATATCCTCGAATACAAGCCATCCGTCCAATCTCTAGTAACAGGGTCCAGAATCCCATATAGTTCTATCACAGAGCATGCCTGTGTAAATAACACCTTTATATAATGTATTTATATCACTATTTTATATAAATCAGTAAAATTTACAACAACTGATAGAATGTAGCGCAGAAAGAGTAAATATAACCAAGAAAAAATTAAAACCCTTTTTATTTCCTGTTAATCCTGGCCTAGTAATAATAATAATTATAATTTGAAATCAGTAGGGCTGAGTCATTGTTAGTAATGGAGACTGGTATGTACGTTCATGAGATCGACGTCCACGCGATTCCCGCTGGAAACTATTGTAATTAATTCGGGTTGAATTCTTCACCTATATTATATTAGTTATATATATATATATCATATACACCCATGATGAATGTGTCACCAAAGAGACATGTCATATGTTGTGCAACATTTCGTAAGGATGAGCGTCAATTTCTTTCCCATTCATGTAAGTAAATGTGAATATAGATATCTTTGTTTCCTCTTAGCACATAAACATATCATTCTGAAATTTGGCTAAGAGAATTTTACCTTAGGGTTGAGCACGGTGAGCTTGGTAGGCAGGCCCAGGTCAGTCTGTGCCTTCACGAGGGTCTGTAGTATAACGGTCTTGCCGCCGCCGGTGGGTCCCACCAGCATTGAACAGTGTCGGGTCATCATCGTCTCGTACAGTTGTACCACTTTGTCCACCTTGGATAATTACGTGAGGTGATGAATTATATTATCAACATACTTCAATTTTAACAGAATTTGTTGTAACAAGTTTGAGATGAATTGAGAATAAGTGGTTCATATATTTTATTGTTATATAAATATATAATATTAAATATAATTAGCGAGGAATAATTATTAGGACCATGCTGATTTGTAAATGAATAAAATAATTATACATATCCAGTTTTATTGCGATAAAAAATAATTTGTGGACACTTTATACAATCCTCTAAACCCGCTACGATTAACCTTTTTTCGGATGGAGTGTCGACCTTAAAGTGAACTGATGACAGCTACTTAATATGTACATTCTTTTTTTTATGCAACTTAGAATGGCAAACAAGCTGACGGCCCACCTGATGGAAAATGGTAACCGTCGCCTATACACATGAGTACCATGGACATAACAGAGTATACTGTTTCGCCCATGACACCCCTCATAAGATTCAGTATACTCTGTTATGACCAGAGTATTGCTCATGTCCATAGGCGACGGTTCTATTTTCCAGCAGATGCGCCAGCTTGTTCGCCATTCTAAGTTGCATAAAAAATGTATGTGTAGATACGTTATATTTATTTCTCATAAAGATACCAAATGCTCTGATTCCAAAAGTCTTCTTTGGCTTCCTCCCCATTTTTACTGATAACTTATATTTTTTATTTGGCTGTTCTTTAGGCCATTTTTAAGAATAATAATTCTTCGTAATAATAGATTAAAGTTTGAAAGAAAAATTAAGAGTTTCTGGAACCGGAGTGTATATGCATAACGTTATAATAGTGGACCTAAGTTAAGCATTCGATATTCAATATATAAATCACCGCTTACTCTAAGCGACGTGAGGTCAAGTAAGATTACCTGATGATCAAGCACAATGTACCCGTCCTTTTCAAGTACGTCAATGACGGCCGCGTTGAACTCTGGATAACCGACGCGCGGACACTCCAGCCCCGGGAACAGGTCTTTGATAAGACCGAGAAACAGGGGTACATCTTCGAACACGAACTTCGGGTGGTTCATGTCTCTGTTATTTAAAGCATCATATAATGATTACGTAGTCACGTGTGTGTGCGTATGTGTGAGTAGGAGCTGTGACTAAAGTAGGATTTACATCAAACGGCGCGAATCGGTATGCATTATACAATACAGAAAAAAAGTATTAACGGTATTTAAGAAGCGACAATATGCATGAGAAATAAACAAATTTGTAATTTACACATTTTTGTCAACTATATATATCGTAGAATGTGGGCACTCAACGGAATACTGTCTGAGATTTCATTTCGTGCTTTGCGTAGATATTTTCCTTATTTTAGAATAACTTGATCTCATTTATTAATATTAAATGTAATCTCGCAACTTTGATAATTTATATTGATAAATTTAATTATAATATTCAATAAAAGAATAATACGAAGTAATTAAAAATAACCTAAAACCATACCTGAGTGCACGCATGAGCACCATGATCTCGCTGAGGCCGGGCGAGTCCCGCCGCAGCTTGCCGGCCATACGCAGGACAGCGGTGAGTGCGCGCAGTCCCCAGTCGTAGTGCGACTGCTTCGATAGCTGCTCACGCGCCACCTTGTACAGTACTGTCATCTTCTTTGCTAATACCTACAATTTAGAAGTTTTTTTAATGGGTGATAATGGAATGGTACCCTCCCTGCGCTATCGGTATACGCTGGCGGGGCACCAATGATAGATGATAGGTGAAGATGAAAGTTAGCCCATCGTGACGTAGTCCACTACGATTAACCTCGATGGTTTAGAGTGGAAACTGCGTGGAGGTCGACCTGACAGGGTGTATTACTAGTAAGGGATCAATTAGACCCCATTACTAACAATCCCTTTCTCCACACAAATTATAGGTTATGATGTGGTATACTGATATGATTGAAATGTTTTAAAATTTCAAATGCATAACGATACTCTTGATTTAGGAGAGGGGAGCGGAATGAGAAGTGTCAACTCAACTACTATTAGAAGGATCGTCTTAAGAGAGAATTTTGGTCATTGGAAGTATTTTTTTTTTATGGATGAAAATGGTATGTTAACGGTAACTTCGCCTGCGCTAATGGGATACGATGGCGGAGCACCAGTGAAGGATGATAGATGAGAATGAAAACAGGTCAGTTAGCCCATCATGATAAATTCATCAGGAATTAACCATGATAGTTTCCAGGAGAAATTGCGGGAGTTCGACCTGGTTGGGTATATTGCTAGCAATGGGATTCTCAATCTCCATTACTAATAATCCCTTTCCCCCCATTGGGAGTATTGGGCTCATTCATATTAATCATCTGGTTTGTCTCTGCGTTGTTTCATCTGTCAAACCATTGGTAATATTTTGCCATCTTCTAGCCTTGATAATGTCTTCGTACCAACTACACGTGGTACTATAGATCGCTACGGTATCATTTAGAAAACTGTACAGTACAAATGAGTAATAACCTTAGCTGTGAGGAATCCATCGGAAAACAGCGAAATTTGGCATATCATCTCGAGGTCGGGCAGGATGCACACGACGGGCCGGAACAGTGCTTTCACCGACTCTGGAAGCTCGGTGCGACCCGCGTATCCGGGGTTCATTGTTATGAATATACCAACTTTGCTGTCCATCGCTATTTCTTGACCTTCGAACTACAAAGATTTATTTATAATTAATGTTCTACAGGCAGTGGGAAAGAACTCTGTAAAACTGTAAGAGGACTATGAATACATAAGTATATGATTACATAACTAGATACAAAATTGATAAGCTGCAAGTCGCCAATTTTTGGTGCATCACATTAGAAAGTATCAGGCAGGTCGTGCCGACCCTAAAAATTGTCTGACCCCGGGATCCGAGTGAAGCTTCGCAAAGATATGTCTAATAAATAAGCCATTTTAAATGGCCAGCATCTGCAAATCTACATGGGCAAATAGAATACACGCCGTGTGTGAGCGTTCCGAGAAGCAAATTTTATGCCAATTGAATTATAGATGTTCCGTTACGAATAATACTCGTAGACTGAAGTCCGGCCTAATGTAATTATGGTGTTAAGTTCGCCATATGTACATTTACTTTATATAATTTACAATTTACACAATTATATAATTGTGGATTGATATTTAATTAAATATATAGTGTAGGACTAGTTTTATTTTGTAGTGCTAATAAATGTAACTTACTGTAAATCGTTTGAGCTTCATGAGCAACGCGCTCCTGATGCACTGCAGCTGCGTTGATATGACAGACAGCACGGAGATGTCGATGCGGTTGAACTCATCGAAGCAACCCCATGCACCGCACTGGCACAGCCCCGCCAGGATCTGGCCCACCGCGCGGAAGTCCATACCCTCGCCGCAATTTGTCACCACGCATAGTAGACCTAGGGCTTTGGCCAGATCTTTCGTTGTTTCTGTTTTGCCGGTGCCTGCTGGGCCTGTGTTAAAGAATCAATTGATAAAAGATAAGGATAGACCTTCCAGGTTCTGAGTCTTCTCTTTCAAGCCTGAGGCGATTAGATACCTTCTGGGTAAGCGCGTTTCATCTTTCACCCTCAGTTTTCACGCTTTAGGTTGTTATTAGATTCGTTTTAATTGTAAGTGCTGTCTACAGCAATTTTAGTTTATGGTACTCTAGTACCATAAATTAAAATTGGCTTATTATGCGGCTTGTGTGTGTAGTTTTTTGTTAACAAGTGTTTTTGTATTTGTACATGTATGTACGTGGTAGATGTCAGTATTGTTACCAGCGGGCGCGCCGCCCAGTTGCATGGTGAGCGCCTGCGTGATGGTGAGGTAGATGCGATCCGTCAGAGGTGTGATCACCAGCCGACCATTCAGACCCATGTATTCGTATCCGTATTCGAATACACCTGAAAAGTATAACTTGATTAGGAAATGAGAATAAGTTAGATAACTTTTATTATTAATTAGAGGAGGGTTATCTTCAGCTATATAAAACCCACTTTCCAAAAGGGATATTTATAAAATTAAGATGTGGTCGCGTCTGAGACTACGGGATAGGGACATATTTACAAACAAACAAATTTACATATTTATAATATTATAAAGGGTACCATAATGAATTTATTTATTACTAAATATATTTATTTATTTATTTATTATTAATTATGAACGTAGTTGTCACACTTTATGTGTTGGTCGTATGGGTAAGATTTGGGGTAAGAGATCAACCAGGGAGAGAGTACATTAAACATTACTTAGTAGATATGTTTACCGGTCCTGTGTCATGCACACGATAGGGATGTCGAATGAAGGACATACACGACGATTTCATGACATAAGTGTCATGCGAAGATGATGAGTTTATTTTTTTATACAACTTAGAATGGCAAACAAGCTGACGGCCTACCTGATGGAAAGTGGTAACCGTCGCCTATAGACATGAGCAGTACCATGGACATAACAGAGTATACTGTTTCGCCCATGATACCCCCCATGCGTTGCCATTCCTGAGGACTAAGACGTTATTCCTCTGTACCCTGTAAATTCACGCCATATCCCACCCTTCAAACCGAAACACAGCCATGCAAACACAACTGCTTTACGGTAGAAACACGAATGGGACAGAGGTACCCAAGCAATCGACTTTTGTATAAAGTCTCCCTCTGGTAAAGTTATAATAAGCATTATTAATAGCTTTAAACACATCAATATATAGAATAAGCATATTAATTTTTAAAACAAACAAATAGTACAAAAATATTAGAGACCAGTGCACTGGTGGATCCAGAGATTGTCGTCCCTCTTGAGCCAGTAGAAGCGCAGCTGACTCTCCCACTCGAACTCAGTAGCTTCTGTTACATTGTCGCGTACGAAGCCCTCGATGATGTCGCGTGCGTGCACGTCGATGGTCGTAATCGTGCGAAACTTAAGCCGGTCGTTCGACGTAAGATCTAGATGTTATTTTACACTTTTAACTACTGTCTCATAAGCACATTTTTAAGCTAATTTTATGCTATACTAGCGTTTTAGTTCGATTTGCACGGGTTATGTTACTTGCACATAATGTATATTTAGGTATGTGAAATCATTTTTAAACAAATAATCAGGTCTTCCATCTTTATTATAGGTTTTATAAGTATGTGGAACAAATCAAAGTTTCGAGATATGATAATTTGATTAGTTGATTAGAATTATTTTGTTTAATTCCACTACCATTAGTATGCGTGCGACTGTCATTTGACTACTATTATTATTAGTAGATGTTCTACGACCTTCTCTTAGTAATTTAGTCTATACTCATGTTGTGACATGTGTTACACATCTAAACGGGACATCTTCAGGCGATTAATAATTTGCCGCTAGGAGTCTAGTGTTGACCGTTCCAGGTGTCGAATGGTATACTAACGGTAGTGGAATTAAAGTATAATCAACTATTGATATCGACTTTTGCTAAATAACAAGTAATTCTTTTAGTAGTATAGGTACTATTATTCCATACACAAGGCTACAAATATTGAAAGTTCGATCTGGTCAACATGAAAAATTTCGTATATCAATAAATTTTCTTTTAATTCGGGGGGAAGAGATTGTTAGTAATGCTGACTACCAGTCTCATTGCTAGCAATATACTATGAGAGGTCGACCTCCACGAGGTTCCCCCTGGAAACCATCATATTGAATTCCTGGTGTATTCATCACGATGCGCTAACTGGCCTGCCTTTTCATCTCACCTATCATCCCTCACTGGTACCCCGCCAGCGTATACCGTTAGCGCAGGCGGAGATGCCACTTTATTGCCATCCATTAAAAAAAACTCTTTTCATTTATATTTTCTTTAGCACCCACCTTGTCTGACTTTGACCACGAGTCCGTCGAGCTGTTCATTCTGCTGTTGCAGATGCTCCTTCATGGCGCGCTTGTTGCCCTTGCGTATACGCACAAACGTCTCTTCCGTTTCCGCTGTCCACCACACACCGTTGGCTGCCAAGCAGACCATACCCTGGTACTCCAGGATCCATTCCGTTCTAAAACATCGAAGTTGTTTTGTTTATTATTGAGCAAGCTGCAAACTCAAGAGCTCTGTAAATATTTCGTTACACTCAAAAATTTTCCGTTATACGTACAAATTTAAATATACAATAGAAAGAAGACAATGAAAATTGAAAAATAAAATGTATTGCGTTATGAATTACAAAATGTCATGTACAGTTTAAGGATATAATCTTCTATTTTCTTTATATTAAGAACAAAATTTGTAGCTGTTGAGTTTGAATGCTAAATTAATTAGACTCGATCGAGAAGTAGATTTAGGGTGTTTATTTAGGAACACATTGTAGAAATCGTCAAAAAAACATTAAAAAAAATTGAACGTTTGCCCCATCAAATGACTAAATACTAGTATTTGATAGTTTTTTTTTATACAACTTGGAATGGCAAACAAGCTGACGGCCCACCTGATTGAAAGTGGTAACCGTCGCCTACAGACATGAGCAGTACCATGGATATAACAGAGTACACTGTTTCATCCATGATACCCCCCATGCGTTGCCATTCCTGAGGACTCAGATGTTATTCATCTGTACCCAGTTAATTCACGCCATATCCCACCCTTCAAACCGAAACACAGCCATGCAAACACAGCTGCTTCACGGTTGAAACATGAATGGAACAGAGGTACCCAAGCAATCGACTTTTGTACAAAGTCTCCCTCTGGTGGTTTGTTTGTTTAGTTGTTTGTATAGTTACGCTTGTTGTATCCAATTAAATTAATGTGAGGTAACCCAATATCATTCTATCTCTTTCTATATTATTGTCTAATATGTATCTATAGGATTTTTTATGCAACTTAGAAATGGCAAACAAGCTGACGGCCCACCTGATGGAAAGTGGTAACCGTCGCCTATAGACATGAGCAGCACCATGGACATAACAGAGTATACTGTTTCGTCCATGATACCCCATGTGACATTAGGATAAGACAGTCCAACGGGAATTAGCTTGTGTAAACTGTAGATAGATAGATAAATAATTTATTTGCATTACTTGCAGCACACAAACAGCAAAAGACACAAATGCAAATTGAAAAAAGATAAAAAAATATTTGTACAAAACATTAAAAAAAAAAACAAAATCATAATCATAATCAGAATGCATAATAACAATAGTAACAATTTTTTTTTCTTCATGCGTGTGCCACAGTAATACAAAATGGCCACAACTCAGCTTTTTGCTTTGCCTAAAAAGAGCAAAACACTGATATTCTGTTGTGGCCAAAAGTACTACTAGTAATATTAATTTTGCCAAGATTGCATATGTAGCCAAGATCTGAAAATATCGGGATAACGATAAGGCAGCTAAGGAATAAATCAATAACAGACAGTTTAAAACTTTAACTCACCTGGGCACTCTCCAGTTCTTTCCATAATAGAATATAGCTTTCTTTGTTATAAACTTGTTTGTGTTTCGCATTTCTGTAAGGACTAAATTCATCCAGTCCTCCACGCGGCCCTCCGTGTACACCACGCGACGAAAGTCCATTATCTATGGTTTTATGGTTTATTTATTATTTATTTCAGCTTTATTGATTAATAAAATGTGGTACAAAAGGTAGACTTAATACTTTTTTTATGGATGATAATGGAATGGTAACTGGTGGGGTACCAGTGAGAGATGATTGGTGAGGAGTGAGGAGGAGAGGAGCATGTACTGCCTTAATGGCCATTTTTTTAAATGTGAAAATGTCCACCCGTGCGACGCCGGGACGGGCCGCTAGTAAGAAATATAATTGCTATTGATACCTCTCCTTCTGCGGATATCATTTTGGCAGCCACGGGCCGGTTGGTGTGGTCCACGTACAGGTCGAGAGCTCGTATGTTATCGAACATCTGAAATACATTTAGGTTCAAAATTTACAAGTTCATTTACTATATAATTTTATTTGTTTAGACAGCAAATAGCTTCATAAACAAAAACTTCACCTCCTTATATTGGGAGTAAAAAATATTATAACGAACTAACGATTTGAAAGTCATAGAATATATTATTACCGCCTTACCTTTATCATGTGTTCCTGAACGCAACTACACTCACTGCTGCCGAGGATGGATAAGAGTTCATCTGTCGATATAAAGAAGAATCGAGGGAATATGCGACGTTTCGAGTCCAAGTAGTCATTCAGTGACTTTTGACATCTGAAATTTATATAATAAAAATGAAATTACATGGATATAAAAATATTTAATACGGTCTGAACTTAAAGCCAAAGTATTGCAAAAACTAGAATATATTTTATATATCAAATTCGACAAATCATAATATTATTAAACTTAATACTAATACCTCTCAAGTAATCTGTATTATAAAAACTTAAGACTCCTACAAACCATTGCAGTGCTTTGTCACTGTCAGACAAATTGAGAATTTAGCGCAAAAGAAAAAGACAAAACACTCCAATAGCTAAAATAGTTTTATGACAAGTTTGACGTTTTTATGCATAAGGGTGTTAATGTTTACAAGAGAAGCATATGAAGAAAGAAACATTTATTATAATAGTATGATGATAACATTATATATATGTATATATAATATAAAACATCTTACTTTTGTAGTCCTAATCCCAAATTGATAAATTCTTCTAGTCGACCACTAATAGTACAGCAATCAACTACGTTCAGTCGCTTAGCAGTGTCCAACATAATCTATAAAATGAATTACGGTTATTGGCTATAAAAAAAGTAAAAAAAGACCACTTTCGAATGTCATTAGCTAAAAAAAATTAAAATATGTACGAGTACTAATATGAACTTAAAATATGTAATAATATGTATTTTAATTAATAGCTGAAATTAGAACAAGAATAATGAACATAAGTTTCATGTAGGTTTCCCCTTGGGTAACTGGCGTCAACTGAATATATATACATCTGCAGATAAATTCCTTATTTTTTACTAAACTAGCTTTTACCCGCGACTTCATTTGCGTGACTCGATATGTTCATTAACTGGAATAAAAAGTGGCCTATGTTCTTTTCCATTTCATATAATACCTGTATACCAAATTTTATACTAATTTGTTAAGCCATTACATTACGGCGTTAAAAGGAAACATTTAAACAAACTCACTTTCACATTAGTAATATTAGTAAGGAACGCGTTAGGCTTGAGATAAGTTTACCTTTCCTTATATTGTGCCTAATTGCAATTATTACTGCATTTCTGAATGCAAAAAAAAAATGTATAAATTTTTAACCGTCCACTGCTAAATATAGCTTCCCCCATAAAGGAGGTCTTGCCAGTAATTGCCACGCTTGGCAAGCGAGTTGACAACCGCAGTCTGCCTTTTAGTGATGTTTTAAGAGGAACGCTGCTTCCCATCTCTCGATTATAAGCTTCCTTAGTCGCCTCTTACGACACCTACGGGAAAGGAAGGGGTGGCCTATTCTATGCCGGTACTTACACGGCTCACCAATTACACATTTTTAAATACACAATCGGGAGTAAACGCGACGAAAAAGTTTTTACAAGTAAACAGTACCCACATACTTGCTTCTTTATTGTCGACGTTTCGACGTGGATTGCACTACGTCGTGATTACGACAGGACATCCTCGCATTAAGTCACGATTGTATATTTAAAAATAATATGTATTAAAGTTCTTAAATAGGAAACAGATCGACCTTTCTGAAAACTTTATCAATGTCATCGAACTTCTTAGCCTCGTCGGGCAGCTGCACTCGAATATCGCCTCCCACGAATATACCTTCTAGGTACAACCACTTGCGCTGCGTCGCCATCCACTCTTCAATCACTTCCGATATTAACGAGAGCCGTCGCTCCCACGTCTGCACCACCGATAGGAATGGCCCGATAAATCTGAATTATGATAAAAGAAGCTAGAATAAATCAGTGCTACGGTGAGAAAAGACATACTATTAATTTTTATAAGAGGATTAAATCTTGCAACTCTATGATATGCGCCTTAGCTTGTTAAATTTAGTTTTATTACTCAGTTTCGTCATTATCCTAAGTTTATTTTTTTATGCAACTTAGAATGGCAAACATGCTGATGGCCCACCTGATGGAAAGTGATCTTTAAGTTTTGGTTTTGCTGAGGTATATCATCAACATCACGTCAGCCGTTAACTGTCCACTGCATTTACGTATACATAATATTATGTATTTAACTTAAATTTGCAAAAAATTTTGCTTATAAAAACCATAATTTTCTAATGGAAAATAAAAACAAAAATGCAAAATAAGTGACACGGGATTTTTATATTTTGTTATAATATTCAGAATGTCAAACAAGATGATGGCCCATCGGATGGAGAGTGGTAACCGTCGCCTATAGACATATAGGATAGTAGTGTTTCAGGCGCGTGGTATATATATTTTTTACTTTTGAAGGGTCCCGCGATTCTCACGACCTCACCTGATGGAAAGCAATGTGGTCTAAGATGGGCCTCGCGGGCCAACGTCTATTCATTAGCCTATTCACATTTGGCTTAAAATGGTGTAGATTATATTTGGATGGAAAACTATAAGCAGGGAGAGAGTTCTACTCTTTGGTAATACGTATGATAAGGGGGGAAGGGATTGTTAGTAATGGGGTCTAAAGAACCCATTGCCAGCAACACACTATCAGGTCGACCTCCACGTGGTTCCCTCTGGAAACCATCGTGAACAATTCTTGTTGAATTCGTCACAATGGGATAACTGACCTGCTTCATCCTCATCTATCATCCTTCATTGGTGCCCCGCCAGTGTATATCGATAGCGCGGGCGGGGTTACTATTCCATTATCACCCATTAAAAAAAATACATATGATGAGGGGAGAAAGGGATCGTTAGTAATGGGGTCTAATTTCCTCATAACTAGCAATACCCTGTCAGGTCGACCTCCACGCGGTTCTCCCTGGAAACTATTGTGATTAATTGTAGTGGAATTTGTCACAATTGGCTAGCGGACCTGCTTTCATCGTCACCTTTCACCCCGCACTGGTGCCCCACCAGCGTATACCGATAGCGCAGGTTGAGTTGCCATTTCATTATCAGCCATTAAAAAAAATACATAGGATGAAGGACGACGCAAAGTGCTTTGTAGATATAAACGAAGTATAAGTGTGTGCTGCACTAACTGCGATGCGGCCATGCTCTGCAGCGACATGGCATCGTCGTCGAGCTTGACGATGATCTCGTCGCACGGGTTGAGCGTGTAGCCGCGGTCCTCGCCGCGGTTGAAGTGACGTGTCACGCTGAAAGAGATCGTTGCCCATGTCTCCTGCACGTCGCGCACGCCACGCTCGATCGCCAGTTCCTGGGGGGGGGGGGGGATTGTTAGATTAACAGCTGATGGAGATATATTGCTAGTATTGGGGGTAGCTAACAAAATGCCCTATTAGCTTGATCTCTAAATACTTGATGAATTCGTCACGATGAGTTAACTGACTTGTCTTCATCATCTATCATAGTACCGACAGTATGGTACTGCACGATGTAGATAGATACAGAGATAGATAGCGTGGGGCAGGGTTACCGTTTAATTTTCAATATAAAACTAAACTAATATTCATATAAAACTAAATCCTATACTCCTAATATCCTATACATACAAAGCCACTATTCTGCTTATTTTTTCAACATCAGAGGGAGACTTTGTACAAAAGTCGATTGCTTGGGTATCTCTGTCCCATTCGTGTTTCTACAGTGAAGCAGTTGTATTTGCATGGGTGTGATTCGGTTTGAAGGGTGGGATATGGCGTGAATTTACCGGGTACAGTGGAATAACATCTGAGTCCCCAGAAATGGCAACGCATGGGGGGTACATGGGCGTAACAGTATACTCTGTTATGTCCATGGTACTGCTCATGTCTATAGGCGACGGTATCTATTTCCATCAGGTGGGCCGTCAGCTTGTTTGCCATTCTAAGTTGTATAAAAAAAAATTCAAAGAGATTTAAATGAAATTTGATAAACGGGTAGTTTATATATTAACTTATTTATTTTTATTTTTTTTATTTATTCATTAGTATAAATATGTGTACATGGCGGACTTAATGCTAAAAGCATTCTCTCCCAGTCAACCATAGGGAAGTGTCAGAATACTCGAATGCGGTACTACTAATTATTGATATACTAAAATTAGATATATAAACGAATAAATATATATAAATAACAAATATACTTACACATATATGCCATATACTATATTATACACGAAATTGAGAATAATATAAAGTAACTTAGTACATAGGATACTTTATATACTGATTTACGCAGGCGAAGCCGCGAAATATAGCTAGTTCTGAATAGATTTTTATAATTACTGGTGTTTATGTCTACCTAGATATAGTATAACCCATTTAAGTAAGAAACTTACTTTAATAGCATGATTTACAATCTCCTCAGCGACGTCCTGATACTTGTGTAGTTCCATAGCGAACATATTTTCCAATGTAAATCGATCCGGTGACATGTCGAAGTCCTGATCTGTTCAATGTACATTTACATAATATTGTACGGAATTTGAAGAATAATATACGTCAATGAGTAAATATTAACCCCCTGGAAAATTCATAAGAACTAAAACGTCCTACAAACCTATTTCAGTTATTAAAGTGTTTTGTCACTTTTGAGAATTTAGAGCAAAAGAAAAAGACAAAACACTTTACTAACTAAAATACATTTACGCAATGTTTGACGTTTATATTAATAAGGGAGTAATAAGTTAAGCATAATTTAAAATCTATGTCTACGAGCGTGAACAAAACTTTTATATTATGTCAAAAAATAGGTTTTCAATTTATCGGTACACTATGTAATATTACGTAATATTTTCACTAGTTCTCAACCAATTTTGATAATTATTTCCACAATCAATAAGGTACACATTCGTATAACTACGCTCATGATGATGGCCGTAAACGGTCTATCACAAGAGGAAGAAGGCCAATATAAGGGTCAGCGTAAGGTCTTAGCAACAAAGGCGTAACTGAATTGTGATTTCTGGATGATGGAAACGGTTATTGACCAGACATAGTACCATTACATAAAATCCTCACTGCAGTATGACAGAGACACCGCTCTATACAAGATTATTCTATGTTATATACAAAATTCCTCAATAAATAAAAAAGTTAGCTGATAACCTCATTCTTAAGCCCGATATTATTATTTAGGGAAATGAAATATTGTTATTTGTAAAAAAAAAAAAAATAATAATAATAAGGAAACAATAGTTCGAAAACTTACTGGTTTTTGCCATCAACTCTTTCCAGTGCCTCTCGCGCATCGCCTCATTCTTGAGCGAGACCATAAGCGGTACTATACTTTTGAACTGTTTCATCTTCATGTCTAACATCAGACCGGCGTTCGTAAGACGGACCACTTTCGGTAGTTTTCTAATAATTAAAAAACATTATTTGATTTTTATTCAATGACAGTGGCAAGCATATAGGTCGATACTTTAAGCGACCTATACGTTTCTTCTTGACATAAATTGCTACTAATAATGTGAACGTTAGTATTTGCGTGATGGTTGACCGAATCACTAAACCGATTTGTTGCCAGAGATTCTTATAAAAAAAAATTACGTCGGGGTTGACATTGATCATAACAGTAAATTTGTGTTGGGGGGTACTGAAGAAGCTAGAGAACTTTTTTAGCCTCTCCTCTTTTTTTCTTCCTTTCTTTTGTATAGAGCCTTTGCTCTATTTGTTTACTTCTATGTAGATTTGGTGTAATGATAGATAAAGAAGAAATTACCGTGTTAAACTCACCTGTACTCTTTGAAGAACTGTTCTATACCATCGACTAGGGCTTGTGGGTTGAGATTGACCCATAGTGTCCTAGCCCACAGTTCTCTAGCATTCTTTTGGGCCTTATATATCTTGTAGATCTGATCCATCGCGAGGAAGTCGCTCTTGGCACGGTTGAAGTTTGAGAAATCGGCCAACGGGTTGTCGAATAATTGTTCTGCTGCTTGCAGCATGCGTTTACGAGTTTCTAGCTCGTCGAAGTATTTTGCAAATTCCTTTTTATACAGAATGGATTAAGAGTAAGTCAATTTAAGAACAGAAAAATATTAAAAAAATGTCAAATATTCTTAGATATATTATAGTTTTTATATTACAAAAAAAAAAGCAGTGTGATGGTAAACGATCACTATAGCCTATGGACGTTTGCAACACCAGGAATGTCATGTGCACATTGCCTATCTTGAAAAAACCTTAAAAAGTCCTTTTTGAAGTACTCTATACTGAAGTCTCCAGGGAAAACTAAGCGTTCGCATGAGGAAACTTGTATGAAACCGAACTGTATATAACTATCCAGGTTCTATCGTGTGAGGATGCTAATTTGTTTGGCTGTTAAGCGTAAATACGTTTAGGTTTTTTGATTAAATAAAGTGGGAGGAATACGAGGCTTAGAAGAAATACCAACCTCCATCAACTGAAGGCCCCTGTTCATATCATCACCAACTGTAGCTGGCCCTTCGAGGTCGAACTTCTCCACAAAATTGTCGAGTTCCTTCAAGAAGTTTGCAATTTCCACCACGTTGAGTTTGGAGAATTTCTCCTTGGTCTGTTCGAGGGTGTTGCCACGGAAAAGTGATGTCTGATACAGACTACCCCAAGAGGATTCGAGGCCTTTTGCGAACTGAAGGTCCTCTTCTGATACCTGGTAAAGAAGGTTTTATTTGGATTCGCCATGACATATTCATAAGATATATTGATAATTTCAGTTGTTCAGTGGTACAGGATTAAGTAACGGGTCTTACTTTAGGACTGCAGTGAATAAAATTAAAGATACCATGATGGTTGGGGGATATATGTATGTATATGTATATATATGTATATTTATATTGTAAATTTTTAATGAAAAGTTTCGCGACTGACTCTTGGCCACAGCAGAATATCAGTGTTTTGCTCTTTTAAGGGCAAAGCAATAAACTGATCTGTGACCATTTTGTGTTACTATGGCACACGCATGAAGGAATGTTAACAAAGGAGATTGTTAGATTATGTATTTTGTTTTTGTATTTTTGTTTTTTTATTTGTGCTTTTTTTTTTATTTTTATTCTTTTGTCTCTTTTGCTGTGTATTACGTGTATGTTTTTTTTTTTTTTTTTTTTTTATTGTAATTTGTGTGCTGTAAGTAATGCAAATAAATTGTCTATCTATCTATCTATCTATCTATATTTACTGAAAAAGATATAGATACCAGCTATATCCCACTCTGGATACAGGTCTCTCCCCATTCCTTATACAATAATAATCTGACATTGCGGCTTGGTGTGGGTTTAATTACACATTTTCCTACACTTTCACTAGTATACTGGGCTTCATTCCATTAATTGCCTGTTACGCTAACCTGGGTATGAAATAGAGTGGTGATAAAAAAGAAGTTATTTAAAGGGCCTTATACTCACATTGATTCCATGCTGCCGCAGCATATGGAAGGTCTCCTGCATGTCGCGGTACTTAACCTCCGCGGTGATGGTCATCGCTTGCACCTGTGTGATGGTCGCCATCACCAGCTTGAAGTCCTCCAGCCCTTTGATGTTCATGTTCATCGTCATGCGCAGAGACTGAGAGACACGATTAGAGTATGGTTAGCCAGAAAAATACAGCAGTGGTATTACTTTTATTACGTTAGTCATTTACTTATTTATCTATTTATTCTTTATTGCATAATAAATATTTATACAAGTTGCGAGCTTAATGCCATATGGCATTCTCTACCACCTAACCAAAGAGAAAGCGTATGAAGGGCAGATGTAATGAAAAATATGTGAATAAGACAATAGTCATTAAGCCAATTTATTTATTCACATTTTGTTAACGAATGATATATAATAAATACATATCCCAAAAATTATTAAATATTTTTTTGTAACTAAAAGTAGGTTCGCTTTAAAATATTTCCGTTGGATGAAACTAAATAAGTTTGACTCCAATATAGATGAATGATAAAAGAAAAATAAAAGTTAGCATAAAAAAATAATTGTTCATACCTCAATTTGATTTTTCAGGTCGTACATATTTATCCTTGTTTTAGAGGCAATACAATTTCCTAGTGTGTTCTTCCACTCTTGGGCGTGGTCTTGCACCTGTTTTATGATAGTCCGGAGGTTGACTCGGATTGCGCCAACGTCCACATATTTCACATGGTGATCCAGTTCAGCGATGATGTCCTCGAAGAAGAAAAACTTCTCGTCGTACTTGTGGATCTGCTCGTGTTTCTGTATGTACTTCTCACACGATAGACTTTTATCGAACGCCCATAAGTGCTGGTATTTGTACCACCTGGAAAGTTCTTTTGTATTTAATAATAAAGTGGCACCTAAACTTTTTTTTTTATATAACTTAGAATGGCAAACAAGCGGACGGCCCACCTGATGGAAAGTGGTAACCGTCGCCTATAGACATGAGCAGTACCATGGACATAACAGAGTATACTGTTTCGCCCATGATACCCCCCATGCGTTGCCATTCCTGAGGACTCAGGTGTTATTCCTCCGTACCCAGTAAATTCAAGCCATATCCCACCCTTCAAATCGAAACACAGCCATGCAAACACAACTGCTTTACGGTTGAAACACGTATGGGACAGAGGTATCCAAGCAATCGACTTTTGTACAAAGTCTCCCTCTGGTAACTGATAACAATAATAACTTTTTAGTCTTATTACGAGGCACAGGTTATAGTAGTTTACTGTTACCATATTGTTCAGGTGGCAGGTTTTCGAGTTTTACTACAATATATGTATGTCAACTATGTGTGAAAACAACTATAGGCAATAGTTGCCTGTTTAGTAATATTATGTGATATAAAGTTGGTTGAAAGAAAGATTTTTTTAATGACAATAAAATGGTAAACTCGTCCGCGCTAATACGCCTGGAATTCAGCACGATGGTTTCCAGGGGGGACTACGACCTGGTTGAGTATATTGCGCGAAATGGAGCCTTTAGTCTCCATTACTAACAATCCTTCCCCACCTAGATTGTTATATTTGTACAGATATAAACGTACTGTAAAGAAGCACCCACGACACCAAATGGATAAAACTTAGTAAAGCATATTTCGCATATGTGGTCATTATAATACACACTTACAAATGTAAGTGTGTAGTGTAAAGCACAAAAGATTGATTTCGATCGCTTGGGATCTTTTGTGCTTTACAGACGAACTTACTTCTGTATGTACGCGTTGATATTTTGTGTTAGTCGGTAAATAGTGTCCTGTATGAGCAGCGTGAGGTCGTTGACGGCTACCACCCGCAGTACGTCTTCGAAGAATGAGAACACATAGTACTCATTACCGGTCGCTTCCGCGATCCGCTGCGGTGGGCACGGTAAGCAACTTTTCTTCATCCATCGTGGAAAAGCTGTTAGTCTGAAAGAAGTAAGCTTGGTTGTTTTTTCTCTGATTAAATAAGTAGTTATGGAGTATCTGCATGAGCAATTTTTACCGTGAAAGCATTAATGCGTGTGTTCAACGCCTGCGTTATTGATTTACGATAGCGAGGCAGCAGTAGTGGCGGATTTACACATTTTGCGCCCCTACTGCCCTCTACAATGCGGTACCTAAGTTCACAATTATATTAATTACTCTACTACCAACATGAAACTGCCACAAACATGAAAAGATGCTACGCCGATATACTCTAATATCTGTATGTCGGCTTAGATCCAGCGACCCGGAAGTTGTCGCCTCCGGAGTTGAAGCTGGGGTAGTGGGGTTCGCCCCGATGCTCCTAACTCATCCGCCGTATTATTTAAGTGGGTAAGAAGACCCGACGTCGTCACATTCATTACAATTTTTTTGTTAATGAAACTGTAACTTTTGGCCTCAAAATTGCCGCCACAGGCTCCAGTCTACGCAATCTGCTGGGTAACAACAATGAGTTTATCAGGAATTCATTATGACGGTCTTCAGAGGGTACTGTTTGGAGGTCAACGTACTAAGGTTAGTCCCTATTATTAACAATTCCCTTCTTTTGCAATAGCCGGGTTGTCGTTATAGGATAAAGCTGTGTATACACCTGTTGAGGAAGTGTTTAATGTTGTACTGCAGTATATTGCAGCACTCTGACGCAGTTGGCCGCATAGTGATGTCAGGCGGCACCAGCGCCGCGTCCACTTGGAACAGCGGTGTCTTCTCGCTGAGCATATGTTGGAATTGTTCCAGGTTCTCAATCGTCAGTCTATAGGAAGAAGATTTTCCAAAAAAATGTACATAACGTCCTGAGATAGCTTGTTCAACATTATGCATATCATCGGAGTTCATACTTATTTGTAAAGAGATATAATTGGAAAACAGATTTACAGTGGTTTCAAATTTCAGCTGATGACTATTTATAAATTCATATGAGTGCCCGTTTTGCCATGAAAAAACTTGTACATTATTTTCATATTTCGGCTACATGAGTTTTTGGAGAACGTGGTAACATTTTATGAATACTATGATTTGATTTTAGATTGTTACTACTATTTGATATATAGAAATCATATATTTAAAATAGATGATTGTTTGCATGGCTGTGTTTTGGTTTGAAGGGTGGGATATGGCGTGAATTTACTGGGTACAGAGGAATAACATCTGAGTCCTCAGGAATGGCAACGCATGGGGGGTATCACGGGCGAAATAGTATACTCTGTTATGTCCATGGGCGTAAATACATACTGCTCATGTCTATAGACGACAGTTACTACTTTCCATCAGGTGGGCCGTCAGCTTGTTTGCCATTCTAAGTTATATAAAAAAAAAGATGATTAGTATAGCTATTGCACAACTTACTTAACTAGACATTTAAATATCTTCTTCTCCCAGTACGTATAATATGCAGTCATGACGTTGGACTGTCCAGTACTGGAGCCCAGGATCAGATATTCAAGCTTCATCAGTATGGGACCGATGCGCTCGTATATGCGAGACAAAGTGGCCACACGTTCCAGTCGCTCATTCTCCACTTCTACAAAATATGTCTATGGAACGGGAAACTAATTATTTTAATTGATACTTTAGCAAAACTCTATATTTACAATAAGTAACGTCTTCATTTAAGAACTCTTTGGGCACGCAACCTCGATTAGATGCAAGCTAAAGTTGCTCACTAAAGTTATATATCTAACTCTATATTAAAGTAATAACATCTTTATTTATAAATCGTCAAAAGTAAACAAACTTATTTTAGTCTTTGTAGTATTTTGACTTTTCTTTTGAATTATTTTCTTAATTCAAAAGACAGTGACGAAACACAAATTATTAAAATACGAGTATATTTGTAGGTTTTAGTTATTAGGAAAAAGAAGGTATTAAAAAAAAGCAACCGGGTTTTTTTTTGTCATTACTTCAATCGAATGAGAAAAAAATAAGAAAAACTCTCATTAAATTCAATAAAATATTAAAAGTTATAAAAATAAACCTTGCAAGGATAGAGCCAGGTATCGTCAGGTAGGCCAGTATCCGGGTCCACGTAGTTCTGCGGCCGGACCAAGGGGAATAAGTCGAACTGTTCCAATTGATCGATCAGGAACTGGATCTCTTTTTCTACCATTTTCAGCTGCTGATATACCGCTTGGAGGGAATTTTCGCCTAAAGATTTCAATTAAGGTACTGAATTATTTTAGTTGCTGGTACACCGCTTGGAGGGAAATTACGCATAAAGGTTTAACAAAACCTAATACACTAATGTTTCGCTTTAAAATTTTTAAATGGCAAATAAATTACTGAATACAGTGACTCAACACATCACAAGATTATTCTTGTGTAAGTATGGGCAAAGTTTGATCCTCCCTCCGATTTTGCAATTCATTGTCTGCCTGAATGTAACTTATACTGCAGCACCAGGCTTATTTACATCATGCAAAATTAAGTTTTGAAAAATGGCTCAAAGATTTTTTATTCAGAATATTCGCTTTTATTGCGAAATTGCAAATCAGCGAAATATTTTTTTTCCTTCTCTCGTACTGGATTTATTGTACTGTTCAATAAGTCGAATCGACTCGAAGTTTTTGTTGTTGTTTAATTTTATGTCAGGTTTTTTTTTATACAAAAGTTTTCAACGAAATATGACGTCGCAGTACCAGTGGCTCACTCTGATATATAGAATTCGGAAAAGAAAGTCAGTAAAGGACTTAATTTAACTTGCATTAAAATTACGTGCAGCTTTAAAAAACAATGTACCTTTAGTGATGTCCTTGATATAGTCGTTGATGCCAAGCGCGGTCCAGGTGATACGCGTGAGTCCCGGCAGGATGTGTCGCTCCATGTCCAGTAGGTGGCGCTTCATCAGGTGCGTTTCTGAGGGGCTCAGCGAAGCGGAGCTCGCGTTGTATTTAGCTATAACACCTTCTAACGCTTCCAGTTCGTAGTATAGTCGGGATTTCTGCATTGCCACGTCTCTTATATTGGAGGGGAGTTCGAAACCTAAATCGAAAAATGTAGAACTGTAGCATATGATGAGGGAAAATAAATCTTTGATATATTTTTTTAGGGTTTCTAATAGCTAAAAAGGAACTATTAACCATTCCGTCTGTCTATGCATATTTTTTCATATACAAGAACAAAAGTAAATTATAAACAAAAATAGAGAAGAATAAAGAGATTGGTATATAAATAATCTTCAATACAAACAATGTGGTGAATTAAAAAAAAAAATCAAAATCAATGCATTGACAGTATTCGATGATTTGTTCTATAAAGTAGGTACGAATCCAACGAGAGTGTAGTATAAATACATATTCAGAGTAAACTGGCGTGAATTTACGCTGGCGTGAAGAATAACACCTGAGTCCTCAGTAATGGCAACGCATGGGAGGTATCATGCAAGAAACAGTATACTCTGTTATGTCCATGGTACTGCTCGTGCCTATAGGCGACGGTTACCTTTTCCATCAGGTGGACCGTCAGCTTGTTTGCCATTCTAAGTTGTATAAAAAAAAATACATATAATAGGGTATAATTAATATTATTAGCTTCCTACTGATTCGACCACTGGACAGTTCAGAAATTTTTATAGTTATCCATTCTTTCAGATCCATTTTTTCTAAGAAAATGTTCAGATTTACAAATAAAACACTTCTTTAAAAGGATTTTGATTTCATGCAGGTAGAAAAGATAGCGGTATACCCAGTTGTTCCATAAGTTCTGCTTCGTGTATAACCAGAAATATTTCTTTATCAAAATTCGGTTGGAACTCTAGGTCATATTCTTGCATTAGCTTGTGAACGGTCAAATCGCGCCATGTTACGTCAGTCTGTAAAAATATACCATATAATTATGTGGTATAGTCAGGTAGTTGTATTTCAAATTTCATAAAAGAAACTTTTATAGTACAGTACACTTGTCTCCATGTTCACGCCAAATATCTAGCGGTTAAGGCGGCATACCAGCAGCCTCCATCCTTAATTCATTCTCTATTTTATTCATGATAATTAGGTATATATATTTATTAATATATAAAACGGAAAACTTTGTTTGTTAGTTTAAACGTGCCATTCAAGTTAATTACATATATTTAATAATTTATAAAGCGGAAAAGTCAGTTTTATCGTGCTAATCTTTTCGTCCGCCCGGTAGTTCCACCGGGCGAATTATATTTTTTTTTTGCATTTGACAGATGATTTCTTAAGGTAGGTTACAGGCTATTTAACATCACAATTGGAACAAACGAAGCCGAGGGATACAGCTAATATTTAAAATGTGCAATGACAACAAGCTGACTGCCCATATATTTTTATTTATAATTTTTATAATATGTTTATAATCATTACCAGCCCCTCTTTTGCCAACAGAGACATTGAGCTCGGCGATCTGACGTTTTCGTAGTGTTGACCTGGGATTCTTATCAGCATCACTTAAAAAAAAACAACAATTTAAGGTATATTTACAAGAACAATATCTATTATACATGCCAATCAATGGGAATAAATTAGTTATGCCACGCCCATATAGTCCAAAATATTTGGCTAAACATGATGTTTGATTATTGTGCACAATATTGTATTAATTAATTAATTATAAAATACAGTATATTTAAATTGACTCTGTTAGGAATAAAGAAACGGTCCTTCAAGCCGGATATTTCAGTTTAAATTATGACAGTCGGACTCTTTATCTTTGTCACACATCAAAATTGTTTAACAAGCAACTAATACTGATAACTAGATAATTGTAAACAGTAAGAAATTTAAGCTCTTGATTAATAATTTGTGCAACTTACGCGCTTTATCCCTACGACGTTTGTCAGCGATCTCCTTATTGACGACATCTGCGGGCCGCAGCGATTGTAGCGACGCTTTCTTCTTGGCGACGTGCGCTTTACCCGCTGCCGTTAGTTGCATTCCGCGTCCACAAGATGGCGAGGGCTCTTTATAATAAAAAAAATATTATATTACCTGTGTTGTAGTTCACATGTCTGATTTTAAATGATGTCGTATGGTTGGGCATACCAAATAAACTGTTAAAATTATTTTATCAAATAAAATACATCAGATCAGTGACCTTCGTTCAAGGATTATTACGAGAAATTGCAAAATTTTTCATTTTCACTTCTTTAAGCCCTATTTACTTAGAAAATGAAATAACGATCGTATTCACTTAAAGACCATAAAAAAACGGTCTTATAAGTTTTAGAAGAACTTTGTATGCAAAACTTACCGTCATTGTCCACCGAGTTAGCTTGAAAAAATAAAAGCAAATTCCTAGTAGGTAACTGCATCTATTTCTCTTAAGAGCTACGAAACTGATACACATATATATTAACAGATATGAAACTGACCATCCCCTTTCTTGAAGACCACCTTGAGTATGTTTTGCTTCATCATATTGTCGACGACCTGGGAGGCTCCGCGTACCCACTCCTGGTACTTCGTTTCCTCATACTCTTTGATGATCTTCGAGAACGCCTTGTATTGTTGAAAGGCCTCTTTCTTTTGTTCACAGTCATTAAGCTCTGGTACCTAGCACAAATGTATGCCATAACATTATAATCGTAATAGAACTAGTTACTAAGGAAATTTTCATAAAGTAACGAGTTGTCGGAAAGTTGCAGTCTATGCTTGACTTCGATTTAACGATTTGTGATGTTCATGTTAGGAGTACCATGCATTTTCATTTCTAAGAATGTAGGCGTTACATATCCGTACGCTTAAATTTCTCTGTCCCATTTAACCCATAAATTACTTCCTGCACTATCATAATTCATTGTAGGTAATAATAATAACATTATATTACCTTTTGAAATTTAATTATGGGTTGTTTCATTTTGTTGAAGAGAGCTCTTGCCCAGTAGATGGCACCACCAACAGGTGGATGGTTCCGAAGTAAAGGCGGATTTTTTCGATATCGCTATAAAATTAAATATTATTTGAGTACAATTACAATTACAAACTTTAGAAATTTAAGAAAATCGTGCTACTAATTTTAAGTACGCACGCATGCACGCAAGTATTCACGCACTCACACACACACGCGAGCACTATTTATTTTTTATTGCAGCCAATCAATATATTTTGTTACTTGGACAAAGTAATGGGTAAATATTAGTTTATAAGCAGGATCTGATACAGTGAATGAGTGATAACGCACAGTAAACTTGTCCTCTATCGCGGTGATTTCCTTGATGAACTGTCGCATGACGAGATCAAACTTGGTGGACAGTTGCTGACGGATTGACTCGCGCGTGTCGAACTCGAGAAACTTTAGCAGCACTGTTAAAGCCTCTTCCGCTGACCTAATAAATATTAGGGTAAAATTGATTTGCTTGTTTGATTATATAGTTTTTACAGATTACTCAGTAATTTAAACAGAATGTGTTTCCAATTAGTAGTAGGTAATAAAGGACCTTTTGTTCACTTTATCCCATTTTATCTACATTTTAGTTCTCCAGATACGGGTCTGATCAAATTTGCGATCTGATGGTAATGTAGGCCTTTTATAATGTAACTTGATATTAGTTACATTATAAAAAGCCTGTTATTTCTTTTTAGTAATAAACGTATTTTAATTTAATTCACCATTTGTAAGCGACTTCCAAAAGAACTTTCAAATTTGCCAGATTTTCTAGCAACTAAGTTTTATCGTATTATAAAATTTTCAATTCTAACCGATATTTACAGATCTTTTTGGAATCAATAGGTTTTACTTCTGTGTTGGTTCCATATTAATTACGACTATTGAAGCAGCCATTTTTCTTGGTGGAGAAAAAAATTTGCTTATGTCGCTGCATACTCACCGTAAATTCCCAAAACTTTGGTTGATGTAGTTCTTGGCCTCCTCTTCCAAATAGCGCACCTCATTCCAGAAGTCGTTCATGATCACGTCCCAGTTCTCCTTGTTGTCGAACACGAACACGCTGAAGTCGACCGTTCGTATAGGGTACACGAGGTTCTTGACCCGCTTCCGCACGTCGTCGATCTGAGTTGGATCGCTGATGATCGACTTCAGTTCTAGACCGAATATGCGCTCGAAATCTATTAGTACCTTTAGGGGGAGAAATAATAATTTATTTAATAACTAGCTGTCCCACTCGACTTCATACATGTAGATAAATAGAAAGAAATTAGTAGTTTATAATAGCTTTAATTGGCGAAATATTGAAGAGATTTCAAAACCTTTTTTAAAACAATGTAGCCTATGTTATTACGCTGTTACGCTGATAGGCGTTAAGTATTCGTCGGTTAAGTATTTTTTGAGTTCTTTTTTTCTCTTTATGTACATAATAATATTAGTATGTATAGTTATAGATCATTTAATTTTATTTCAATAAATTAATCTGAAAGATAGCAAATACAATAGTAGATACGTTAGCTACCAAGAATCAGATGTCGAATCAATTCATACCATGCATACGGGTGCGATAACGTGTCTATCATTAAATTTATTAAAAGCAAAATATATCAAGCATCAATTAGGGATTTGTACAGAAGAATAAAAAAAGAAGCGAAACGAAACGGAAAAATAAGTGATAATAGGTAATATAGTAAATGTGTGATACAACAAAAAAAAAAAAGAAAATAACTAAGTTGTGGAGTGAAAACTAAAGTGTTTTATTACTGAGATATAATGAGTGCTTTTTTTAATGGATGATAATGGAATGGTAACCTCGCCTGCGCCAACGGTATACAATGGCGGATTACCAGTGATGGATGATAGGTGAGAATGAAAAGGCAGGTCAGTTAGCCCACTGCGATGAATACACCTGGAATTCAGCACGATGGTTTCCAGGGGAGACCGCGTGGAGGTGGACCTGACAGGGTATATGGCTAGCAATGGGACTGTTAGTCCGCATTTCTAACAAATACTTCCCCCCCCCCTGATATAGAGGGTACAGTCAATATGCACCTGCACGACGTTGCCGAGGTCCCGGGCGACGGTGGCGATGTAGTCGGTGCTCGTGAACAGCAGCGGCTGGTCGAACTCCCAGCGCGCGCCCTTGCCGCTGAGCTCGATGTGGCGCCGCGTCTCCTTGTAAAGGTCGTGCCACAGCTCCATTATCTTCTGCCCGGCGCGGGATAACGTCAGGATCTCTTCGTTTGGTTTACTAGTTAATATTGATTTGTTGATATTCGATAATGAATGAGCTCCCTGCCGAGGTTTTCCCACGAGACTACAGCATGGGGTTTTTCAAAAGGGGGTTAAAGAGGTTTCTTCAGGGTCGGCAACGCGCGCGTTATACCTCTGGTATTGCAGGCATTCATAGGCTACGGTAACTGCTTACCATCAGGTGGGCCGTATGCTTGTTTGCCACCTCAGTGGTATAAAAAAAATAATTGGTTGATACTGATTATACCAGAGGGAGACTTTGTACAATAGTCATTTGCTTGGACACCTCCGTCCAACTCGTGTTTCTACCGTGAAGCAGTTGTGATTGCATGTGGTGTTTCGGTTTGAAGGGTGGGATATGGCAGGGAATTTATAGGGTACAGAGGAATAACACCCGAGTCCTAAGAAATGGCAATGCATTAGGAGAATCATAGGCGAAACAGTATATACTGTTATATCCATGGTACTGTTCATGTTTATAGGCAACGGTTACTATTTTCCATCAGGTGGGCCGTCAACTTGTTTGCCATTCTAAGTTGCAAAAAGAGACTTTGGTAAATAAGAAAACATCGACTCCAATGGTAGCTAATCCAGTTATTTTGGTACAAAACTAAACTACCGACGTGATGTTGATACAAAAAATATGGAACTAATCTGAATGTATCTTTTCAGGATTTTACATGTACATAGTATAAAGTCAGATATCTATTTTCATTTTGTTTTGATTACTTTACTTAGATAACAGATTTTTAATATATTTGTTATTGGGCCAATATATTAATATTTCTATATAGAAGTATCAATATATTGTTACTTCTATATAGAAGTCCTAATACATAATAACGAATATATTAAAAATATGGACCAATATATTGATACTTCTATATAGAAGTATCATAGATTGGCGCAATAACGAATATATTAAAAATAATATATATTACCCATCCCTAATATCTACATATTACTACCAATATCTAATAACATGAAACTTACTCAAACAGCTTGTGAACGTTGAGGAACCTCTCGAGTTTATCACAGAGGGCCCACGAGACCCTGGACAGCAGCGGCACCATCGTCTCGTCGGTGCGGTATCCTTTAGACAGCACCCACATCATGTATATGCTCTCGACGAGCTCGGGGAGTACCTCAATCACTTGTTGTAGTGGAGAGTCGTCTTCTATTACCTGGTCATCATTATTAAAAATTGCTTTTTACTTGGGAGAGCACGTAAAGACGTTAAGTGAGCCACCTTATAGGATGCCATCATTATACGATAAGAACTATTGTGAATACACTGAATATTATAAATACGAGTCAGTAAGAATGTATGGATGGACGGACGGACGGACGGACGGACGGACGGATGGATGAATGTATGTTTGTTTATAACTCTTTCACACAAGAACTAATAAATGAATTCGTACGGAATTTGGTACACGTGTAGGTTATATACTAACATAGCAAATAGTATATATCATGTACTTATACGAGTAGGTAAAAAAGCGGGATACAGATATAGTATATATATATATATATATATATATATATATATATATATATATATATATATATATATATATATATATATATATACATACTATATATATATATATATATATACATACTATATATATATTTTTATATATATTTCTTTGCAAACAATTTTAAATAGCAATTTTAATTGTGACAAAAATAGGATCAATTCGGAAGTAAACCTTATCGACTGAAAAAGGAATTATCAAAATCGATTCATAGTATGTGAATATTACACGTAGCATACATATAAAATATATAGATCGCTTTAAAGCGCTTAAAATTTAAACTTGATTGAGAAATCCAGTTCCAGAGTACTTAAGAGCAGCACGATTCTATACCTACTCCTTATGGGACCTAGGGCGTGTCTTGGTATCTTTGATAATTATCTATTGAATTGACATTAATTATTCCAATATAATATTGTGATGTTAATACAGTATTGGTTCATTAACAATACCCAATATAACATACATATATAAAATGATAGACTTGATATAATAGATTGACTGGTGTAATGAATATTGTATGTTTTTTTTATACAACTTAGAATGGCAAACGAGCTGACGACCCACCTGATGGAAAGTGGTAACCGTCGCCTATAGACATGAGCAGTACCATGGACATAACAGAGTATACTGTTTCGCCCATGATACCCCCCATGCGTTGCCATTCCTGAGGACTCAGGTGTTATTGCTCTGTACCCAGTAAATTCACGCCATATCCCACCCTTCAAACCGAAACACAGCCATGCAAACACAACTGCTTCACGGTTGAAACACGAATGGGACAGAGGTACCCAAGCAATCGATTTTTGCACAAAATCTCCCTCTGGTATTGTCACTATTAAAATGTTATTATATAAATAAATTATTAAAATAACGATAACGTACTGAAATAACATAACAAAAGAATGTAAATAAAAATAGTGTTAAGGATCTAACATTTACAATGACACATGTACTTATGCTTTTTATATGTAACACCTTGTACCTCATGTTTCAAATTAATGGTAAATAAATAAACTCTTTAAAATACCTTTTTGTTTAATATGTTTTATTATAAAAAAAAAAATAACATATCACAGAAAAACTTTGTACAAAAGTAGTCCGCATGAAAACCTCTGTCCCACTCGTATTTCTGCCATGAAGTGGATTTGCCTGGGTGTGTTTTGGATTGAAAGGTGGGATATGGTAGTAAAATTACAGGGTACGGAAACATAACAACAGACTTCAGAAATGGCAACGCATAGGAGATACTATGGGTATCACAGTGTATTTTGTGCCATGAAGTGGATTTGCCTGGGTGTGTTTTGGATTGAAAGGTGGGATATGGTAGTAAAATTACAGGGTACGGAAACATAACAACAGACTTCAGAAATGGCAACGCATAGGAGATACTATGGGTGTCACAGTGTATTTTGTGATATTCATGGTGCTGTTTATATCTATAGACGACAGTTGCCACTTTCCATCAGGCAGGCCGTTGGCTTGTTTACCATTCCAAGTATCATGAAAAAAAAAAAACATGGCGCTTACGGTGAAGAAACGCATCAAAGTGGATAGGAATTTCAGATTGTCTCCAGCTAAGTTATACTGTTCTAGCAACTTTTCTTTGTAATGTTGGAATCCCTGAAACAAATAGAAAAAAAAAAACATTATCTATTATCCTAAAGTAGAAGGAATAATTTTTAATTTTTTAAGCTTTTTTAATTCAACATAATCTTAAATATCAGTCATTTGGTGGAATTAGGTACCTATCTCCAAAATAGGTTATTTCGGCATTACATTTGGTATGTAATAGGTTATTGCAGTATTTTTGGAAATAAATTTATTTCCTATATTAGACACAAGGAGACTCGAACCGGAGTCACGTTTATGTAAAAGTGCCTGAACTGTGGCATGTAAGTCGTTTTTTATATATCTATCAAATTTAATTTTCCCCTTGAAAGAGAGAGATAGGGAGTGGGAGGACAGACAGAGTTATACCTCCATGTAGGTAGAGTTTAACCTCTGCAGCATCGAGATTATCTTGACGACCATCGGCTGCTTGAGCTGTTCCACTAGGAGTGAGATTTCCGCGTCGCGTTCTCGCCAGTACTTGTACTCGGCCACTGGTCCTTCACCCTCACGAGTCTAAAATATTTAAACAAACGAATAACAACTGAGTCCGTAGACAAAGAAGTAATGAAAAATGTATGTAATTCTGAACGTAATTGTTTAATGATATTAAACAAGCACGCGTCTATATTTGCTTTGCATCAATTCCATATAAGCATACCTGTAGACTATTGTGAGATGTATGCACGGTACATACGAACTTCTTTGAATAAAAGATATTATACCTTCCCTAAACAAGCGGTTATGGTGCTATCAATATGCGTTTGCCACATCATGACGGCCTCTTTGAGCTGTGCCGTCAGCACTGGATCATCGAACTCCACGTGACCGGGGTGTTCTTCGAGAAACGAAATATTTGGCATGGGCAGCTGGATTTCACCTTCTATATGTTCTATTGTCCTGGTGGAAGAGATTGTTAACACTGAAGTTCATAAATAAAATAAATGCTAATAATACTATAATTCATATATATTATATAATAGAATAGTTAAAGACATTTGCCGTTTAGTTAATGTAACAATCGACATGGCCAAAGTTTTGTAAATACATTATAAAATGTTTTTTTTTTAATACACCATAGAATGGCAAACAAGATAGACATGAGCAGTATGTAGGTATGTACGTAGGTATGTATGTAGGTATCATGGGCGAAACAGTATACTCTGTTATGTCCTTGGTACTGCTCATGTCTATAGGCGACGGTTACCACGTTCCATCAGGTGGGCCGTCGGCTTGTTTGCCATTCTAAGTTGTATAAAAAAAAACACATGACAAAAAATAATAATAAATTAAATAAAAAAAAAATCAAAGTTACTTATTAGTAGGCTACACCCATACGGAATATACATTCTCTACATTCGGACGTTAATGGGCCGTTAAGGTAAGGTGTTCTTTCGCACACATAAAATGTCATTCCGAAACTTTGAAAGCACATTTCACGGTAGACCCTAAAACCCTCAGCCTCGGGATATTTACCATTTTTAATGTAGTATAGAAGAGTAATAGTGTTAGTCGATCACGCATGTGCTTTAATTTTATACATAGTACATTTAAATAAATACACATAATGTTAACAGAGCTTTAAAACAGTACGGTTGAGTTTCTTGCGAGCTCTTCTCAACAGATAACAACTTTCCGAACCCTGCAGTAGATTTAAAAAAAAATTACGATTAAAAAGTGCTTGTAAACAAGTGTATTTGAATAAAGGTGATTTGAATATGAATAGATTGCTTACCAGTCTACGATGCCAACAAGGTCCTTTATATCGACGATGACCTCTTCGGCAGTAGTCTTCTGCGAACTCTGCGGTGTTATGGCTTCGAATGAAGAAAACTGAATAATAAGACTTGTTAATATTTTTTTAATAATAAAATAAAAATTACTTTAATTGTAACGGAATTCATATAGGACGAATAGGGGAGTAAATTCAAATGAATGCTAACAAAATTCTACTTAATATTCTAAATATGAAAATTTGTGAAGATGTTCGTCATTGATATACGCTGAAACTTTGTATACTATATGTGGTTAACGTAGTGGGTGGCGTATCTATTATAATTGATAACGTAAGTATAAACTAACAACCTATTTTAAGGAATATATGTAATGTGTTACTGTTTGTTAACCTAAATCATCATCATAATCATCAGTAGCCTTTAACTGTCCACTGCTGAACATAAGCCTCCCCTTCGAGAGGTTTCGCTTATATATGTATACTGGAGATGTTTTAAAAGGGACGCTGCTGCCCATCTTTCGCCCTCGCTTAGTCGCCTCTTACAACATCTACGGAAAGGGTGGCCTTTTCTATTCCGGATGGAAGTAAATGGAAGTGAATGTCACTTACCAATTCAGAAGAGGCCCCCTTCCGAGACGACCGTCTTGGTAATACAGATTCTGAGGTTGAGCGCATGTTCTTGATTCTGAAAAGATAAAATGGTAAAACCACATTTTATGCAGTTAAATGGAAATAAAATATTACATTTTAAACTCCCTAATATGGTATAATACCTATACTAATATTACAAACGGGGGGGAAAGGGATTGTTAGTAATGGGGACTAAGAATCCCATTGCTAGCAATATATCCAACCAGGTCGACCTCATCGCGGTTCCCCCTGGAAACTATCATGGTTAATTCCTGATGAATTCGTCATGATGGGCTAACTGGTCTGTTTTCATTCTCATCTATCATCCTTCACTGGTGCTCCGCCAGCGTATCCCGTTAGCGCAGGCGGGGTTACCATACCATTTTCACCCATCAAAAATATTACAAACGTGAAAGTTGTCGAATAATAAATATCGTGAATTATACTGTACTATAATTATTTCATCATCATCATCATATCAGTTTTTAACTGTCTACTGCTGAACATAAGCCACTCCCTAGGGAGGTTTTGCCTGTAATTGTCACGCTTGGCAGGCGGACAGGCAAAAGTTAGTTATTGGGGATGTTTTAAAAGGGACATTACCGTCCATCCCTTGCCCTTAGTTACCTCTTACGATTTCCAAGGGTAAGGAACGAGCTAGCCTATTCTATGTGGTCTCCACATAGGGTAATTATGTAATACCCCATCACCAACATAAATACTTATGTAATTATTTACACAACCATTACTATCTCAAAACAGCATACTGGTCGTGCAGTGCTACTTGGGACACAGCCGTGAACAGCGCTCAAATAGCGCCATTGGTACAGAAATAGTTTATCTTTTTATTCGAGAATTTCCATTTATTTTTAGTTTTTGATAGATAAAATAATTAATTTTTCTAAGAAAAAAATTGTCTGAATCCCTGATAGTGAATACTAACACTAATTATAAAGAGTGGGTTACGTAAATTAACGTAATGTTAAGAAAATAATATTTCACGCACCTTCTTTCGGCATTTTCTCCTCTTGCGATATTTGACATTCTACGGTAGTCGGATGGTCGAAGGTAATTTACCTAAAGGGGATTAATAAGTTCTTACAATTTTAGGTAGTGTTTCAATTGTACCAAACTATTAACACTTATTACATAAAATGTTAAATCTTGAACAAGTACAAGATTATTTAAAACTAATGTCTAATTGTTTGAACAATCGTTTTATCATCTCAACGCTCGCCATACACAGGGAATTCATCCTCACACGTTTGAGCTCAAATGTTCAAGTATAGTGCGGTTTCAGAGAAATTTTCTCCTACGAACGCTCAGGTTGTGGAATGAGTTCCCTGCCGAGGTTTTTCCTAGGACTACAATATGGGGTTCTTCAAAAATGGTTATATTAAAAAAAATAAAACTATATACACAAAATCTTCATTCATAAAAAGTACCTTCGAAGCCGTTTCGTCCTTGCTGTGATGGTCGCCGGCGTAGGACATCTGCCGCGAGAGCATAGAATGGGTTGACTCAGTACTAACAACTGTGGTCTCGCGAAACTGCTTCTCAAACAATGGGATGAATGTCTGTAAATAGAAATAACGCCATCTCGTAGATTGAGAAAAAATCTGTTCCACTAATAGAGATGCAGTCACGTGTTTGATTATTGTTAGACATCGACGGTTAACCCCGAATATCTCCTATAAAAACAGAATACTCTTTCACAAGAGATTCAGAAAAAAAAAATCCTAATTCTGAATCAATTCCCAAATCCAAGAAGTAGTTGTATTTAATATCAATTCCCAACAACATGGTAACATGGAAAAATCCATATTAGAATAAAAAATTAACTATTTTCATAAATGCTGGTTAGAGGAATTGTTGATTAACCATTGTTATGGTTAATCAAAAATTACAGAAATAAGTAACGTCTATACATATGACAATTGATAGGGTCAGTGCGGGGAAAAGCACGCGCTTCTGTATAATGTTATTTCACTTATAGGGAAATTACGTGATCAAAATTTTTATTACCTCATGAAGTTGAAGGCCCAAACTAGTCAGTACTCTTCCAGAAGTAGTCCCAACTAGTATATACTGTGACATGGTCATCATTGTGAGTCGGTCAGTCTCAGCAAGAGGAATGCCCGCGGGCGTTTGCCGCACGAAGTACAGATACCGACGATTGCGTTCAATCACTTGGGGCGTAAAAGCTCCGAATATGGGAATGAGTTTCGGATACTTGATTATTCGCGGCACGGACCTCTAAAAAGTTGATTATTTGTTAATGGTTTAGATAGAAGTTATTCAACAACAATACATTTATATTGTAATTTAAATTTGGAACAATTGCTTGGTAGACATCTTGGCATGTCTTTTAATCGAAATAACAGAGTATAATATAAAAATGTTCTTTCATTAATCGATAACACAGGGTTTACCCAGTTTAAGAACCAGGCGAGCAGGAAAATGGTGGTACTTATTTATATTTACAAAACTCACATCTCCCCTCCAAAGGCGGAGAGATGATAAACGAAATCCCGGCAGAAGCACGATCAGCCAGAGTTCAGGACTTCAGGGAGAGCCCTGAAACCCTGAACTCCACTATCTCTATACCAGCGAACCATATTCGAGCAGTATTAAAGAACATAGCTTTCTGCTTCTCTTCCAGAAGAAAGTTGCCACAAAAAGAAAAAAAGAAGAAAAAGAATTTGCCCTTATTTTTATTATTATTTTTAAATAACTAGATTCTATATATATATATATATAAAAAAAACTTATTGGAATTGTTTAGATAATATTTATGCTATGTGCTTTAGAAGATCATTTATATTATTATTAATTATTTTATTACAAAATAATATAGATATATTTCACATGCGAATAACAATTGATATGAAAATTACATAACATTACATATCACTAGAGCTATTAAATACCTACGTTTTTCTTTAATAATTAATAAACATAGTATTATAGAAATAAAAAAAAGATTTTCATTTAAATTGCGAAATACAAATACTAAGTGCGTAATATTATTGACGTTCTTACAATAACGGTGTAATACTCCAATGTTCCATCCACTTTTGGATCTAGATCTTCTGGCGCTGCAAGTTTTAGTATAAAATATTTAATTTAGTCGAATTAATTATATCAAAATCAGCGTATGTAATATTCGTAAAATAATGAAAAGTAGTTGTAAAAGAAGGTATGCATTAAATATGGAAGCTATACCTTTAATTGTGGGACAACATTCTTATTATTTATAGGAATTTTGATATTGGTAAAAATGTTATATACCAGAGGAAGACTTTGTACAAAAGTCGATTGCTTGGGTATCTCTGTCCTATTCGTGTTTCTACCGTGAAGTAGTTGTGTTTGCATGGCTGTGTTTGGGTTTGAAGGGTGGGATATGGCGTGAATTTACAGGGTATATAAGAATAACATCAGAGTCCTCAGGAATGGCAACGCATGGGGAGTATCATGGGCGAAACAGTATACTTTGTTGCTCATGTCTATAGGCGACGGTTACCACTTTTCATTAGGTGGGCCGTCAGCTTGTTTGCCATTCTAAGTTGTATAAAAAAAAAATGTTAAATATGTGATACATATTTTTTTATTATTATATCAGCCGTTTACTGTCCAGTGCTGAACATAGGTCTCCTTCCTTGTTTTGTAAGTAGCTGCCATGTAGGCGGGTTGGTAACCGCAGTTAGGCTTTGAAATGTTTTAAGAGGGACACCTACCTACCCATCCCTCGACTTTCGAGTTCCCTTAGTTGTCTCTTACGACATCTACGGGAAAGGAAGGAGTAGCCCATTTTATGCCGGGACCACGCGACATACTAGTGATACATAATATAAAGGAGTTTTATTTTACTTGAGACTTAGATACGATGGCCGTTTATTATAGTTAGTTAACTAATAATCTAAGATTAATTAAATAAGTTTCTTTTAAGTCAGGTATGACAATAATGTTTCTCTCGATGGGCGCCCTCTGTCGGAATAATTTGGAATTATACTTTATGACAAAAATAAATACTTACGGGGTGGGAATGAGTACAGATCCTGTTCAAGTGGCTTATCTTTCTCAACCTGTGTATCTGTTTGGTTTTCATCCTCACTGTCAGGGATGTCGCCGACTGCCCCCGCTGCAGTTTCTATGTCCCCTTGGTCTATTATATACGAAAGTTATGTTAAACTTTATATATGTGATATCATCATAGTCGTAGAATACTGACGGATCTGACGAAGATTACATATAAAGATCCGTCAGTATTCTACGACTATGACGATATATTTATGTAACTGTATGTACCTGGGAGGAAAGGAATTATCAGTAATGAGGTTGAATAGCCCCATTACTAGCAATATATCCTATTATGTCGACTTCCATGCGGTTTTCCATGAAAATCATGGTGGTTAATTTATGTGAATTTTCATCCTCACCTATCATCATTTATCACTAATGCCCCGTCAGTTTATACCGATAGTACAGGCAGAGTTACCATTCCATTTTCACCGATCAAGAACTATATATACGGTATGCACTTATACATACAAATTTATAGGTACTTAAGTATAAAGAAAATATATGAGTATATTTAATTTAACTATAGTCGTTGTCCGGTAACCTCTGTGAACCGGCGGCTAAAAAGTCTTCACACCAGAGGGCATTACCCTCCTATGAGTAGTAGCAGTAGTACCCATAGCACAAGCTCTGCTTAGCGTGGTTTTAGATAGGTAATTATTATTATTAGTAAGTCTTTCTCAAATTTATACAACAAAACTACTTGACTAATTTGCATCAAAATTAACAGAGAGATAAACTAGCTGGGAATTTGAAATAGAATGTGATCTTGTTGTAGTATGTAGTGAAGATTTTACCTTCCTCTGTATCTGCATCAATATCTGCAATAAATAAATAATTAAAAAATATTGCAGGTTAATATTACACCCTCATTAAAATTTTTCAATCACTCAATGTTTTTTGGAATACAATTTTCATATTTTAATAATAGTTCCAAATAGAGAAACAATTTAATTTAGGTTGTAATCACACAAGAATCAATATATTAAATTACAATTATTTTTCACATTTTAAAAGTTACAAATAGTTAAGTAATAAAAGTTTATTTTTAGAAGTTGAAATTAATGAAAATAATAATGTGATATAACAGTGAATTTACTAAATTGCTATTACAATTAGCTTATATAAAAAGATATTTGCCTACCTTTAGTACTTTTCGTGCCTTTAACACCTTTCGTACTTTTCATGCCTTTCTTGTCTTTAGATGGAGACTCAGGTTCCGGTTCTTTATCTTTTTTGCCTTTCTTTTTCTTTTGTGTCGTTGGTGGTGGTGGTGGTGGGGGTATGATTCCTGAAATACGTGATTTTACACATTAAGTCATACATAGTTTAAAATAAAGGTGAGTTAGACTATTTTGTAATAATAGAATTTTTCTGGTGACTCTTTGGAACTAATATTGTGACAGACATCTCTCACATAACTATTTATATATGTGATATATATATATGTATATTTATATATATATGTGATATATATTGACTATAGTAGAAAATATAATACTATACCTAATAACATAGATAATAATTTAACAGTACATGTTTATATAAGTACTATAAGTAGTTTTGAAACTTGATAACACTGTGATGGTACATAAATATATAACCACGTGACATATTAGTCCATGAGTTAGTAATTTATGACACCATAAACCAATTTTAGTACTAGTAACAACAATTAAGTCCACATTATAAATTCTATCAGTAAAATTAACAGGATAAAAAGTGTGTGTGAGGTGATCAGAGTTGTCATGGACGATTAGAGATTTTTTATGCAGCATAAAATGTAAAACAAGTTGACGGTTCACATGATGAGAATTGATAACCATTATTTATAGACATGGACAGCACTGATGTACTAAGTACTGTTTCCCAATATAAAATAAGTCATTTTATATTTATAAATTCTTACTGATATTACAATAGCGAAAGTGTGTTTGTTTAATTTTTAAATTTACAAATTATACCAACAAGTATTATTCAGGATAGAGAAGGACATAGATTTAAATATAAAGAAGTAAGAAAATATCATAGTATGTATATTTTTATTATGATTGTATACTTACTCCACTCAGTAAACTCCTTATCCTCATGAATAAGTTTATCAACTATAATTTTTTGTATATATAAAGTTCTTTTATCCAGTGACAATTCATTTTGCTTCAATGGTACCGTCAAGAATGCCACCAGCAATGCTTTGTTTTCACCTTCCATCATGTTGTAGAACAATTCATCATCATCCATGCCAATGTAGCTGAGTATCCGATCTTTGAGCCATAGGACTCGAGGATCCCTGTGTAGATCCACTTCTGGTGCAATATCTTCATTGTAGGAAGGCTCCCCATCGGAGCAGACATCATTGTCTGACATCTTTGTTTTATGAACATGGCATCAGAATATAATGTGAGATAGGTTCAGTAAGGTAAGGTGATCATTGGGTTAAATTTTGACTACATATTAGAGTTATTCATTTAATTCTAAAATATCAATCTTTAAATTTATCCATAAAATATAATGTTAATAATGGAAGGAAATTAAATAAGTTGTTGCTTTTTAAGATAGTTATGAAATTTTATGTAGGAGGTCATTATAAAATATACCACTTATACTTATAATTATTATTATTTCAGTCCTTAACTGTCTACTACTGAACATAAGCCTTTCCCATAAGAGGAATTTTGCCAGTGTTTATCATGCTTGGTGAGTGGGTGGCAACCACAGTTAGGCTTTTACAGATGGTTTAAGAAAGATGCTGCTGTCCATCCCGCCACCATAAGCTCCCTTAGTCACCTCTTATGACTTACTTATACATAATATAAAATGTGAGTTATATATAAGAATATTTTAGATAGAAAAAATAATTTTTAATAGGTTTTTCCAAGAGACTACAGCATGGGGCTCTTCAAAAAGGGGTTGAAGAAGTTCTTCAGGGTTGGCAATGCGTGCGTAATATCTTTACACGCTTCCCATCAGGTGGGCCGTATGATTGTTTGCCACCTCAGTAGTATAAAAAAAAATTAGGATAATGTTACTCAGATTGACTATAGTAAAAAGTTCAAACACTTTTTAAACTTTTTTGGACTCAACTGACTATATTTAAGTAGGTATTTAGACAGAAAAAATTTATATAGTAATGCAATTTCAAATCATTGTGGCAATACAAGGTAGGTAGGCACCTAATATGAATTATGGAAAGATCATTAACTCTCTTTTTATAACTAGGTATTAAAATGTTTCAGATGTATTATATTAGTGAAATAATCAATGCTTGACGTTAAATAATTAAATATGTAATACGGAAAGTATTACATTCCACATTATCATTTTAATGAACAATTAACAACTAAACTTTGATGTGTAATACCTTTAGAATGCTTGATGTGCGTTATATTATGTACCCTACACCATTTTTTCTAAACTAAGATCGCTTAATACAACAATGCACTTTATTATTCTATTATTATTCGTAAATATAGTGCTATATGATGATTTTTATATGTATTCGTATCGACAAAATAATCAACTGCAAAATAAACAAAACTTATTGCTGTCATGGTTACAAGTTGACAACTATTTAAATTTAGCGCTTAATCGTGTATTGCCATATCTTATAAGAAAAAATCTACTAAGCAAAATATATATTTTTAGAAATCTTATAGATCTTTTAAGGTGGTGCTGCCAAGTTTTTTAATAAATGGATGGTCATCCAGATAAATTTAACAAGAAACTCAAAATATATCCTACTTTACCTTATAACTTGGCAGCATCCCGGGGAAAGGGATTGTGAGATTGGATTGCGACGAAGTCTAACTGCCCCCTTGCTAGTAATATATCCTACTAGGTCGACCTCCACTCGGTTTCCTCTGGAAACCATCGTGGTTAATTCTTGTTTAATTTGTCCCGATGGGCTACGTGACTTGCTTTGACACTCACCTATTACTTTCATCGTTATCTATCATTACTGATAATGCAGTCGGAGATACCATTCAATTTTTACCTATTAAAAAAAATATTCCGTCAACATGATAATGGCTGGTTAACTAATTATGCTTGTATGGATAGTCTTCATCTGTTGATAAATGTAGATGAAATCTGATCATTAGACTATCGTAACGATTTTATTTAACGGAATTAATTACTAAGTACCTAGTACGTAAAACTACGTCTATATTAATTACGATTATTACGTCTAAGATTTTCAGGGTTGAAGGGGTGGGGTCTGCCAAGAAGTCAATCTATCAAGGTATATTGCTAGCAATGGGGCTGCTAACCTCCATTGCTATCAATTTTAACTCCCTTAATTTTCTTTCCTCTTAGTAAATTCTTAGCAAAATATTTATTAAATTTTTTATTTTAATGTAATATCTATCAGTTTGAGTTACGTGTAATTTAAACAAAAAAAAAAAGGAAGGTAAGGTAGGTCAAGAAAGCTCAATTAGTTGCAGAACTATTTGGGATCTTTAGACTTGAGCAAAATAATAAAATAAATATTTTTAATAAATATCTTTTAATTATTATTATTAAATTAATTACCTCTTTGTTGTGCAATCAATATAGAAGTTATTATTTTACAAATCTTGAACTTTTATATATAGGATATATATTCGTGTATACCTATTCGTGTTTGGGTTTATTTCTTTTTTAAAGTAGTGTCATGGGCGATACAGCCGCTGTGATCTCGTTACATTAAAAACATTTTTATCTTTAACAAAATCATAGATAAAGGAATTTGTAAAAAAAAATCAAGTGCGCTTTCTTACTAAAATATATATTTTGGTTTAAAAATTAAAGCTATAAAATTATTATTATTTACATCAGCAATTTAATTAACAACTAAGTACCTATAAATTATAATGCTAATCTTATATTGAAATCTTGACTATCATTACCCTTAAGATAATAAAAATCTATACTAAATAAGGACGTTCAGGTATTATTCTAGAATAACCATTATTTTCATTTAGTTCTGATCTAGAATTAATATCTTGCCTTTGTATTAAATTACCTATGGATGACTGAGGTGCAGAATATGAGGATGGTCCAGCATATAAACTGTTGATATTATTATATTGACTGTTAATTTGGTTATTAGTCGAGGAAGTATGATCCACCGTATAATTTATGTCGCTTGCTATAATATCTTGTCTTGTGTTTGATTTGACAATTTGACCTGTTTTCGTTTTAGGGCTACCAAATTCATTAATTTGGAAAGCATTTAAGATTTTTTGTTGTTCTTTTTCGTCTTCTAATTGATATCCTATAGAAGGGATTAATTGAAATGATATTTGATTAGGCATGCTTGTGCCTTGAATTAATCTAGCTCTTTGCTGATTTTGCACTGGACTCGTTTGTAGAGAAAACGAATTAGTTTGCCCATTAACATTATTTGCTTTACTGTACACGATATACGTTTGATCTTTTTCATAGTTTACTAATTTATTATCTTCCAACGGATGGACAATAGTACCAACAATTTTGTCTCGTATCTGCGCTGATATTGTATTATCAGGGCTGAGATATTTATTAATATTCTCATGGATGTTATTTGACTCATCCGATGGAGGTAGTTGTAATCTTGCAGGCATAGTTTTCGATTTTACTGTTTCAATTTCCGTGCTACTTGACCGCACATTGTTAATATTATTTAAATTTGAGCTAACCTGAGATTGAGCATTATTAGCCGAACTTTGGCTAAAACTTTGCCTATTGTATATTTGATCAATCACATCTGGTACTGGAAGTTGATATAATTGTCCACTGTATATTTGATTTTGATCAGACATATGTGTCTGATAATTGGAATTCAGATTACTCTTTCCATTCTGAAATTGTGTCATAAAGATGTTTTGATTTGTCTGTTGTGGAGTCGGTATAGTCGAAGGTAGAAAATCATTTGATTGAATTTGTTGCTGATTTTTTGTGACTTGCTCTGCCAATTCTCTGTATTGATAGCCTGTATTTGGTGGCGTTAGTGGTGTAGATATAATTTTTGCTTTGTTTATATTGTTATAATTATTTCCAGAATACTGTGATGATGTAAGTTGAGATATAGTATTCGTGATTTGCGCTAATTGTTCACTGTTGACGTTTTGGAACTGTGCTATCTTCGGTGTAGGTAACATGTTTTCATGTATAACATTATTATATTCTTTAGCAATGTTGATGGAGTCAGCCAAAAGAGAAAATACTAGTGCCTGTGAATTAGAAATACTTGAATTTTTATCTTCTATTAGTTTACCTATGGGGATAAAATTGCCACTGTTACTTTTAGTGAACGGATTATTTGTTAATACTAAATAATTACTGCTCCCGGTATTTAATATTTCTAATCTATCAAAGTCACTTTCATTACGTTTTCTAAATAAATAAGAGGCTACTTTTTCCGGAATAGTAATTTTTAAAGAAACTGTTCTTTCAATTGTATTCGTTCGGAATGGTGGTTCTTTAAAAAAAGGTAGATTAGAAAGTTCATTATTACTTTGTTTAATATCATAAGATTCTTCAGGAGGTTCTAAATCTACAGAAGGGCTTACAACAAGTCGTGAGCTAGAAGGTGCAATAGTAGGAATTTGTGAAGTCAAATTTTCAACACTTTCAATGCTTTCATGAGGTGGTAAATAATTATCTTCAGGATAGTTAGATTGCGCAATTTCTTGTTTATATTGACCATATTGTCCAGAAGGTGCGGTACTTAAAAATTTACTTGTATCTTTTACTATATCATTCACCGTAATATCTAATTTTTCTTTGGTTAATATATCAGTAAATGTTAGGTTGTTTTGATTATTATTAACACGAGGTCGTTTCATAATTGAAAATGGCGGTTCATTTGTTGTTACTGTAGTAGGAATTGTATACGTAGGTACTGGTGCGCTAGTAGGAGCTACTCGCAACTGTCCAGAATAGTATGTGGGTTGTGGCATAGAATTAGGAGAGAGATATTGTCGAGATAATATAATAGGACTTGGAGATTCGTTTTCAAGTGGCGGTAAATATAATTTCGCCGCTGGTTTAAAAGTGGTGGGAACTAAATATAGGCGAGAGGCCTTTGTTGGTAATGGAGATGTTTGTTTTACAGTTACTTGACTTTCTACAGTTGGAAAAGGATAAGGTGTTACATCAGGTGTAATTTTCTGTTTAGCGGCAATAGTTGGCCTACTATAAATATATGGTTTTTCTGTTTCTAAAATAACTTGTGACTGTGAAAATGTAGATACAGGCTTTCTATATATATAAGGTGTAATTGGGTCGGTTAATGTTTCAGTGGGGGCTCGTGTAGGTCTGTCGTATGTGTAAGAAGTTGAGGTGGCTTGGATTACTTTAGCCGATTTTGGTTTCGGTTTAACAATCCATGTTTTGACAGTCACACGTGATTTTGGTTTTCCTGGTTTTGGTTCATTTACAAGTCTACTAAAAGTTAGTGTTCTTGTTATTATAGTAGGTGGAATTGTGTCACCTTTTGTACTTACCAAATTTTGTTTTGCTTCTTCATGTTTAGTGATTTCATTGAATCTTGGAGTGGGTGTATTGTATATATATGCTTCATTATCTTGATTAGAAGAGTATTGTTGTTGCTTCCCAGTATTAAATTGAGTGAATTTAAAATTATTGTCATATTGTGAATTCTGTAGACTAACCTGTCCTTTCGGATTGTTTGTTTGATTTGGTATAACAAAAGTAGGGTTAGTATTTATTTCTTGTTTTTGCCCATATTGAGCATTTACTAGAACATTGTTCCTTTGAATGGGTCGTGTTATTTGGGAATAATTATTATTGTTTGAATTTAATGCGTTACTGTTCTGTGCAAAACGATCAGATTGGCTGCTGGTTATAATATTTTTAAATTGATTATGATGTGTTCTTTGCTCTTTTTGTCTTTGAAAGACTTCTGCTTCTCCTTGAGGTGTATTTTGTGCAGCATTAAAAGAGGCTGGTAAATATAGTGGTTGAGGTGTTGATGCAGAAAATGAAATATCATTATTGTCACCGTTTTGAATTGGACTTTGTAATTGCTGTGGTGGTAGATACACATTTTTAGGAGTTCGGTCTGTATAAGCTAATAATGCGGCATTTGGATACATTTGGCCAAACGGAGGTTTGTATGTCTGCATAACAACAAGATTACTCTTCATTGTTGTTTTATCATAAGGATTCCTCATAGGATGCATCAGCATTTTTTTTACATCTTTCATAAGTTGTGGTCCCAATCTTAAATTGCCGAATCTTTCATTATTGTTGTTAAATAGTTCTTCTGATTTCTCACAGTTGACATTCATCCACCAGTCACAAACGAATACAGCTTGATTGAAGAGTGTTCCATTGGGACAAAGAAACGATTGAAAGCCGTAAGTAGAACCCACAGTGCAAATTCTGAATACTTGGCAATTTGTTTCCAAATCAGCATAGTATCCTGTAACGTAAAATGAATATGATTAATTACAGTTTATGTATAATGTAGATTATTCGTAAATTTAACAATTCATTTGTAGATTTTGATTTTGCAGTACTTCAAAATAGAAGAAATACTTAAAGATTGACTGGAAGAGAATGCTACTAGCATTAAGTCTGCTTTTTATACCATATTTTTTTGTCCATAAATTATTTAAATAATTATTTAAATTCTCAATTCGTTTATAATTTTTGTGTTGTTACGAGATTTTTGCCACATAACATTAAAATCTATTCAGGTGTTTAAGTTTGATTAAGTAACATAATAACTAAATATCAACATGATAATCATATTCAAATATCTTTATAAACTTTTACATTTATAATATTAATATTATTATTATATATTATGTTTTGTTAAAATACTTAATTAGTTAAAAATATAGCATGCGTTGTTTTACCTGGTTCTCTTCCAGCACACGAGAAGGATGTTTTGGGAATGGTGCCCAGAATGGGATAGTCGGAGCCAGGTTCACCCGGCACTGCTAATCTTATGTCCCAACCATTCCCATGGTGTTCGTGATTATGTTCTTCTCTGCCATTCTGACCTTCTACCCAAGAACAGCCAAAGACCACTGCAATTAATTATAAAAAAGTTGTCTCTATGATTTTTTATTTGCAACGATTTTCACTTATAGATAGACAGATAAAAAAAAAAAAATCTTAATATACATACACATCAAAAAAAGTTTTAAAACAATTAACAATAATTTTAAAACATAAAATATAGCTTATAAATATACCGTGCGACTCAGCAATATAAAAGGACTCAAAGTTTAGTGTGGAATTTTATTCAATACATACATACATACATATCTGTCACGCCTGTCTCCCATTAGGGTAGGCAGAAACAATGGAACGCCAAATGCTTCGATTCAAACAAACCTCTTTCAATATTTTATTCAATACACATAATAATTATGATATTTATGAACAAGATTATTTACTGCTAGTACCTATATAAAATTTATAATAAATAAACGAGGTACGTTTATATATCGCCTATATAATATTATTGGTCATGTGATCCCGGCATAGAATAGATCACTTCCCTCCTTTCCCTTGAATGTCGTAAGAAGCGATTAAGTGAGGGCGAGGGGTAGGCAGCTACGCCCTTCTTAAAATTTCTAAAGTTGCCAATCCGCTTAAACTACTGGCAACCCTTCCCCCCTACCCCTTATGTTCAGCAGTGGACAGTTAAAGGTTGATATGACGATGATGTTTAAGTATCAATCAGTTTGTAATACTTGCAGGTACTGGAAATATAAGTGTGAGGAAATTTTGTACGAAGTTGGCGTAAATAGAAAATAACAATGCCACAGAGTGCTTTTCTAGTGTCGCTAAAAAAATTTGAAATATTGAGAATGTAGGTGCCAGTATAAAAAATTCTGTCGTTTTGAATCTATGTTTCAGACATGTTAAAATATTTTATTTCAATGATGGAACACTTTCTTAAAATAAAATATATAATTACTTCTTCTGTCCGATTTGTTGTTTACATTTCCTATGTAATGTGTACAAGTATTTCTATGTATTTTCTGCAGTTAGTGTTGCAAACTAACAAGCACGGAGACAGTTCTCATAGAGTTTTTGTAGGCTCAAGTAATCATGTAACAAAAAGTCGATCAATGTGTATTCGTATAGTCCCACGCACCTACCTACCTATATGTAGAAAACAGCTTAATTCTATAGTTGGCCGTCACAAATGTCTGTATTATTAAGTCACACTAATTTTGTAATTTTTAATATAGGCTTTAATCACGTTTTAAATTCGGAGATGCCCGACTAGTTACGAAACAGTATAGTTATAACTCAAGATAGTTATTATATAACATTAATTTTGAAGAAAAGAGGAGATTATTAGTAATAAGGACTAGTAGTCCTGTTATTATATACAGGACATAACACGTTATATTGTATACTAGTAACGCAGCCCGGCTTCGCACGGGCATTTAGAATTTTCGACAATAATATATAGCCTATGTTTAGATCATTTTAAGAGGCATATTTTCATACGTTATTTTTGGTTAACTTGAACCGTTTACGCAGCGCATGCAACGCAAGCCCTCAAATATGAATAATTTTCCCCGGTTTTGCAACTTTTTTTACTGACGCTTCGCTCCTATTGGTCGCAGAGTGATATTATATAGCTTAAAACCTTCCTCGATAAATGAACTATACAACACTAAAATAATTTTTCAATTCGAACCAGTAGTTCCTGAGATTAGCGTATTCAAACAAACACTTCAGGTTTATAATATTAGTATAGATTTATACAATATACCGTGTTAAATCGATCTTAATGCGGTCCTCACTAGAAACCATTATGAAATTAAGCATACTTTTGGCACTGTTTTCTTTTTTCAGATTCGCAACAAGCACGTGACACTCTAGAGATGCAAGCCTACATTTGTTACAATAACCGTTTATAATCAAACAGGCTAAATGTTTGTTTGTCTTCTTTGATGTTCATAGTATTTACTTTACTCTGAATATGTACTTGTTCTACCTATTTCTTACTAATAAAACTTCGTGGTAAATACGTAGTATAACTATTGGAAAACTTTTATGTTAGTTTTGATAGATAGCCACAATTCGAGAGGCGGTATTCCCAGATCGAATATTGAATACGCGTACGACTAGTCAAGTTTGATGGCTTGTTTAATGTGGGGATTCAATCAAGCAACACCATTGGGACGCAATGATATTCGACACTTCAATATACACAATAGATGTTCAAGTCTAGAAGTACAAAACTTTTTAGATTTTCGTCAAACAATATGAGGGTATCTTTTGTAACTAATTTCATTTTCAAATCATATATTTGTGCCATATAGATGGATAGACATATAGCACACGCATCGAAGAATAAAAATATAGATAGTTAATAATACGCATTTCATGTAATCTCATTAAACTAAAAATCCTTTAATTATTGCTGTGTGGTCCCTGCGTAGAATGGGCCACCCTTTTCTTTCCCATGAGTGTCGTAAGAGACAAGAGAACGGAATGGTCGAGGGATGGGTAGCAGTATCTTTTAAAACTTTACCAAAGCCTAACTGCGGTTGTCACGGGGGAAAGGAATTGTTAGCAATGGAGTTTGACAGCCCCATTAGGCTCATTAGCCCCATTAGCAATATGCCCTATTAGGTTGACCTCCACGTAGTTCCCCCTGAACCACCGTGAACAATTCATCTTGTCACTATGGGCTAACTGACCTGCTTCACCTATCATCCTTCACTGGTGCCCCACCAGTGTATACCGATAGCGCAGGCGGGGTTACCATTTCATAAAAGAAAAACTGCGGTTGCCAACCCGCCTGTCAAGCGTGACAATTATGTGCAAAACTCCCCTTATGGGGGAGGCCTATGTTCAGCAGTGGACAGTTATTTCCACAGTCTATGCCGGGACTACACGGCAATAAAATGTATGTCTGTAAATCTGTAATTATATGAAATTATAGTCTAGTGTTGTCTGACAAAATATTTAAAAAGACCTTCTACAATCTGACATCAATGCCCTACTTGAATGACGTCATGATGCGGGATTGGTATTAAATCCAATTAAAACATAACTTTTGATCATAAAATTTCGTCCTTTATATAAACTCATCATTGCTCAAAACGACAAGTGTCTACATTCAACTACTGAAAGGAACTTTTGTAAAGGAACTTGTGTAAAGATATGGATGGTTTTTATATAACTTGAAATACAAACATGTTGGTGATTTATATTATTTAAAATGGTAATCTTTGACTAAATACAGTGATACCACTTTGTCAAAGATTACCATAGTCGTATGTCATAGGATCGATTCTTTAAGGGAACAAAATTCATTGTCCGCTCTTACATGCAAATTCCAAACTCCATATTCATATCAATTTCATTCAAGATTGTGTGCCACAAAAAACCCGACTTCAATTGTGACATAATCAGTTATTTTTATTAAAAAAAAAACCTAACTACTGAAGTAATTTAAATAAAATTTCAATGGGTTCACTTTGTAAATAAATATACCCTTCCAGATGAAAAAAGAATATTTCAAATCGGTATATAACTGACGGAGTTATGAGGTAACAAACTTAAAAAAAAACATCCGAATTAAGAACCTCCTGCTTTTGAAAATAAATATACTTGTATATTCTAGTGATGTGACGTTGAGTACACATTCAAATATCGATGGGTTACTTCTATTCTCTTGATTCAGTTATATAGTTATTAACAGCACGGTCAGTTATATGGTATTATGATGCCATTACTTGACGTCTATCTAACGTATCTTATTTTACTAACGGCTTCGTTGCTGGTAATTCCTGCCTATCAATTCGGCCTCCACGCTGTCCTCCCTGAAGATCGTAGTGGTTGATTTTCATAAATTATTAATGATTATTCCTAGAGAATTTCATCACGATGAGCCAACTGACTTCATCTTTTCTATTGGCCAAATTACGATTTTTTTATGTTCTTTATGTACCATTCAATTATCACCCATAAAAAAAAATGTTGTGTTCGTATGGAGTAATGGAGTAATGGAAAGAATGACAGATATAAGAATAATGAATCGGATGTAAGTACAATACGAAAGTGGTAAGTTGGATACAAGTGTCGTAGGAGCAGTAGATCGACTAAATCTACGGTAATTAAAAAATTAATCATGGTATTTATTAACGGTATAACTGGATATAAAAACTGAATATGATAAACACATAAAATTATCTTTGCCTATCTCACAGAATGACTAAATGTGGCTATGTGTAATTTTATAATAAACTTTCTTTTGTTGCGCCCAAACTTAGAAATGCTATAAAAAATTATGACTCCATTAACATTTATACAAAACAAGTGTAACAATTAATTAAAGATTTGGAAAGAATTTAATAACAAATAAGAAATATTAATTGATTGGAATAGATTATTAATTTATTCCTGTATCTGTGTAGCATAATTATATTGTAGTTCGATACAAGGAAGTATTTTTGCTTTTTTAATAATTAGGTATAATATATTTTATTATTACTCACTAGCTGATGCATGTGACTTCGTCTGTGTAGAACTGGGTTTTATTTCTCTTACGATCGATTTCCTGTACAAACTTAATCCTTATTTCACTCCCTTTAAGATTTATTTTTGTGATATTTCATTACATTCATCACATTCGTATTTAGAGTGGGGTCTAGTGAGTTCTTTAAATATATCTGGTGCTCATTTCAGAATAAGGAGTGGAGCTTTTAGCTATCATCAAAGACAGGTTGAAGAGTATATATACGCTTTCTTAAGGGGTCCAAGGAACATAGTTTTAAATACGTCAACGTCCTTCTCCGATTTCTATATCAAATTTCATTAAAATTGGTTTAGTGGTTTATGTGTGAAAAGGTAATAGATAAACAGACCGACAAAGAGTGACATTTGCAATTATAATATGAAAATAGATAAATGTAATATTTTACAATTCCTGGAAATATCACTTTATACATTACTCTTATATTAGGGTACCAAAAAATTTAATATAACAGTTTATTAATACGCATAAAAATTCTGTACTGTTTAAATTTATTTTTACAGAGGGCGAACAACAAACTTTTCATAAAAAAATATTTGCAATACTTGTTAAAAATAAAATTCAATAACAAGTCGAGTCCGAGTAGGATTTACCGTAGGTTCCGTACGTAAATATATTAACCTATTACTTATTATTTTCATTATATAAAAAAATATTTGGTTATGTGGATATCAAAGATATTGGTTTACATACTAATGTGTTTCTTGTCTCTTAAAAGAAATAGACAATAATACTTATGCTATAAGGTTGTTATTACTGTGGATCGTATTTGTGGTTATATTAAAAACGGGCCCCGTAATTTTCTTTCTAGGGCTTTTGATAGTTTTGCCAACTGTGCTAGTTAAAAGCACTGCTCTATTTTCCTGTAATATAATATAGCTAAATGCAGTTCGTATAAATCGGATAATGAATGAATTTGTTGTATTTCTCTGGCATCTCTATAATGTTATTTTTAGGATTCCGTACATTAAAAATTGAATTTGTTGTCTGTCTGTTAAGACCCTTTACTTCATAAACCCGTAGAGGTATCATAAAATTAATATCAAATAGGTACTCAAGTCTACAATCTCTTGAAGCTGTGAAAAAATGTAATTTAAAAAAGAAGAAGTTCTTGATTTTGAATCATGAAATTGAGAGGAAATAACGTCGTATAGCACAAGTAATAGAAAAATTTTAAAATTGTAATATTTTACTTCGCTATCAGAGCACTTTTAAAATAATCAATCAAAAATATTGTTTATTCAACTGTTTACATTTAGGTAACCATCGGCATAAATCTTCTTAAATTAATTTAATTAGAAGTATACTTTACATTTACGTTAAATTTTTCATGAAGAAGAAATGATAAATTAATAGCATTACTGTACAACTTACAAGTATTTTTTTGTCGAATGTGTTATTAGTTTCCGTACCACCCGGGACCCTTATAATTAACATTATTTGAATATTTTCACCAAAAACACATACATCAACGGGTTATTATTTTTACAATAAAATATGACATGGATAAATTTTTAACAATAAATGTATTGGATAGATGCTAACTATTAATATTTAGTATTTTAACTAATAAACTGACAATAGTTTCTGCATCCACGGTTGAGTTTGATATAAAAGATAAAATTCTCCTATTGTTTTCGAAAAAGAACATTATAATACTCGCATTTGATCAATAAAAATTGTTTTAGTAGTCTTTTATATATCTGTATATAATATATAACTAGATAAAAGTTAAAGAAATAATTTATTCTTTGAATAAATTGTTCTTTTTTTTTCTTTTAAAAGAATAATTTTTAATATTTTGTCTGTCTGTTTATTTCGGCATCACGCAAATAACACATTGATATAAATGAATTTTAATAAAATATAATACCCAGATGATCTGAATCTTTTTATTTCTACTCCTATTGTTCTAATAATTATAACAATACTAATGAGTAAGAGTATATTATATGGCCCTTTTAAAAATTTCAATGCAACTTACAAATAACAAAAAAGCTCCACATTTCAAATGTCCATAAGTCCAATTCGGTTTAAACTTTCTAATTATCACAAGTGTTTGCACTGCATACAAATTACTTTGTCACATAAATTAAAAAGAACAAATTAAGATATTACCGGTTGTGAGCATTGTGAGTGAACGCGGGTGACAGTAAGAATGGCGGGCTTCTTTGCAGTGCATGTATTATGTTTCGGTTATGACATTCCTGCCCTACCACGGTGAGCTGAAGCCCATACATCCGACCATACCAAATCAATAGACGGAACGAAAACTCCCATTAGTATGTACGCACCTTATTGTTAGGAGCGTGGCACACTGTTTACGTCAGTCCATACGTAGGGTAGGATCGTGGAATAGTACTTTCGTTGATGCATTAATCATAGTAGACTTTTAAACATTATTATCCGCGGTATTATAATATTAGATATTAAACATTATTTGAACCTCAAAGTATTTATTATTATTATATTTAATATTTTTTAATAGTTTTGTCTCTAATTGGAATGTAATAGGACAGCGAACGTGAGGAATTCTACGGTAGAAACACTTCAAGATTGATTGTCACTGGAACAGAATCGGACTTGTACAGTCATATTCATACAATAGTATGAATATGAGATAGTTTCTACATATTTAATTTACGTAATAATATTTTACTGGACAGAGATCGAACCGCGACCGGCGTTAAACTATTGTGAATCTAATCGTCAGAGAGACCGTAACAGTAAACTATTACGGTCTCTCCGAAGTGTATTTCAAGAAGTTCTTACTAAGATTTTTATCTTTGTTTTGTGACATAGCAGATAATTCTACATTTTCGCCAGAGCCATAAATAATATATAATATATTGTAGTATATAAATATACCTATGATGTAGATTTTTATACATTATACAGAATTGACTTATGAATTATTAATTAGTGTTTATATTAACAACCAAAATTATATATATATAAGATACGTTTTGCACAAAATTCTGACAGTTGCAAATGGCCACGTTCGGTGCGATTGCATCCGCGAATGCTCAAGTTATGAAATGAGCTTCCTACCAAGGTTTCATGAAGTTTTCAGAAAATACATAACATGTTTTCCGAGTCGGCAATGCGCAGTTAGCAACACTGGTGCTTAAATTTTTATGTAACAATATCTTAAATTTTCTTTTATGTTTTTTAAATTCGATCTAGCAACGTCATCTATGATTAAATATTTGATAATCGTTGTCTGAGAGGCCTGATTGAAAGAGTAACCATGTTGTACATATTCATTACCTAACTACTCCACGGAACTAACACAGTTGTGTGCGGGGGAGAGTTAACAATACGTTAAAACCATAGATATTGATTCATATAGAAGAAAAATTTAAAACACTTGTAATTGCGCGTACCTTGTTTACTTCTACTCGTGTTTATGTTTTTATGTAGCTGTACTTCATGTAAGTACATACATAGAAAGCTGGTTCAGTTGGAAGTATGGCATATGGTGACAAAATAACATAATACGGAAGCTTAACATTTTACTCGTAGTCTTTAGAAATGGTAATGAATGTAGAGTACCATATGGGTAACGATTAACAGTTACTACTTTTAAACACATAAGTCGGCGAAATCACGAACAAGTTGTTCGTGATTTCAAATTTCATAAATTTTAAATATAATTTTGGTTTTAATTTAAATTATGTACCAGCAAGCTCAAAAGAGTCTAGAATGATTCTGCAATAAAAGTTCTAAGATAAAAACAGTACTAAATGTGATATTTTTGATAAATCTTGACTTCGAAAATAGTTTAGCTTTAGTTTAGTTACTACTAGTAATTAGCTTTTAATTAGTTTACTACTGTTATATATATATATATATATATATATATATATATATATATATATATATATATATATATATATATATATATATATGTTATATACTTATAAATAAACAGTTACACGTCTGGCGGGATATTTGGTTTTCAATTTTCATATACATTGACATACTTGTGTTGTCTAACGTTATCTATATCAATGGTTAAAACAGAGCCGATTGGTTGTTATTATTACAGTGTATCGATGCTGTAAGAACTATTTGACTTTGATTGTCATGAGAACACCTTATAAAAAGACATCTCATTGTGTTAACATCTTGTTCAGTTACTGTTTAATTTAGACATAATTAGATTAGTTGGCCATAATAGCATTGAACATTGTACAATAGAGTACATTACGATGGTAGTGGTAGTAAATTTAATTTTTGAAACACAGATTTGCATAATTCATAAGGTGCTATGCTACACATAGCTCGTACACATTTTTTCTGCGCAATGAACACCCTCTTTGCATTCGAACTATTACCCCAGAAAATAAATCCATATCTAATGACAGACGCAACATACGCGTGATATGTGTTTGTATCTGCTAGTTAATCTCTCTGTCTATATGAACACCTAGAATTTTTTTATGATTCACACCTATTTTTTTATTTCATATTTTATTTCTAGTCTTTGTAATTGGGCCTACCAGCACTGAAATGTATATAGGTGGTTTTAGATATATTAATGTGTAAATTATTATTTTTTAACTAATCAACTACCGATTCAATAGTATTAATAATTTCACTTTGATAGGTTATAATTGCATTATTCTTATTATTTTCAGATGAGACAATGATAGAAATGTCATAGGTAAATAATACACATTTATGATGACTTACATTTATAATGTCATTTACATTGTATATTAAAAATAAAAAAAGGACCTAAAGTGCTGTCCTGTGGAACTCCTGATTTGTTATATTCATTCACTTAACTATTTATTTATTTATTTAAATTGTGATACATAGGTAACAATGGATGGTAAAACAAGATAAGTCCTCTATGAACAACCCCATCTATCGAGGTATATAAATTTGCAATTATATAAGAAAAAAAAACTTCATACTCAGATGTATATGATTTAACTTCATTTTTTGTCGAGTCTTGTTATTAAAATATTTTGCTGCCTACTTTTTAAGTACGAAGAGATCTACTGAAGAGCTGACCCTCTATGGCATTTAATTTTCTCATTAAAATGTCATTCGAAACACAGTCAAAAGTTTTACGGAAGTCAAAAAATAAAGCAGTAGTTAATTTTTTCTTATCTGTATTTTTTAAAATGTCCATAATCAAAGAGGAAATAGCTAATGTAGTCGACTTATTTTTTTGAAATGCATATTGTTCCTTATCGGTCGGTAGTTATTTATTTCACTTTTGTCTCCTTTTTTATACAAAGGCTTTATACTAAAGAATATTTGAGCATATCTGGGTAACATCCTTGTTCAAATGATAAGTTTATCAGGTACGTCAGCATAGGAGTTATCTATGCAAGATTTTATTAGTCTTGTAGATATTTTATCGTACCCTTCACAATTTGTATTATTTAGAGATTTTATTTGTTTTTTATCTTCATATTACGGTGCAAAAAAATATGTAGCATTGGATGACGGTATTGTGTAGAAACAGATAACAATAAGATTATACTCCATTATCTCTATACCACAGCATTTAAAAATCTTGGGAATTGCCTTTTGTGCTAAAAATTGGAGGACTAAGGTGTTTAACTCCTTTTTTTTTTGTAAGAATACAGATTCTACCCCTCTGTTTATTTCTACAGAAACTTGACTTTAGTTCATAATTATCAATTTTAACATAGTTTATTCCCATATGAGCACTCTTTAAGTTTAATTTCAATTCGCTATTTTGCTGCTTAAGTTCATGCAATTCACAGTGTAATCCAATCTAAGATCAGGGAGGTTTCTTCTGATATTGGAATCTGTTGACAAAATTGAAGTCTCGTCATGGTAACTTGTTATGGTACGCGCATGGTATATGGCGATGGTAATTTGTTATTAATATCAGAGCTCCGATTATTAATATCCAACGAAGATGAATTTTGAGGAGAATCGGATGTCAATGTAGAATTTGTAATTTGTGTCTTAAGTTTGTTCGATGTGCATTTATGACATTTCCAGTTTTGTTTATTATGTGGTGTTAAGAGTTGGAAACTTTTAATAGATACGCTGCTTAAGTAATAATATTGTTTAAATATTTGCATTTAAGCAAAGTTAATATATTTGTTCCGGCATAACGTAAGCTGCTATACCAAATTGGATACGCCTTTCACAGCTATATTCCTGAAATTTTAACATAAAATCTGATATATGTTTTATCTTGATACGCTATCCAGAAGTGGTCTATAGTATTGGTTTTCCTACTTCCAAAATCCACGTGAATGAAATAGAGGGTTGACAGCTAGCAAATAATATTACTTATATTTAATTATAAAGTTATTTGTTATTTACTTTACATGTTTTACTTAATACAATATAAAAATCTTAATTACTATGAAATTAGATAACAAAAAAGAAACAAACGTAAAATTGTAATTTGAATAATGTATATTTAGCAGCTATGAAACAAAGATTATTATCCGTATCATAATAACATATTTAAGTATATAAATACATATATTTAGGTATATACTACCATGTTTTTTTCATAAATTATAACAATATATGCTCTTGATTTTGTCGACTTATTATTTAGTCTGATGACGGATCGTGGATTTGTTTGTTAGTATTATATTATCTGTGGTATTACTTTTGACCGGAACAATTGATTTGATTAGGGATTCAAATTAGAATACCAGTTCACAGATAAAACTACTGACTTATTAAGTTATTATATGAAATATAATTTTTTTTATATTTTTATAATTAATTTTCTTTTTAACAGATTTAACGTTAAACATTCTATTCTTTAATTCATAAAAACTAATATTTTGTACAAACCTATTTTACATGTTCACTGATGATGGTCTTTTAAATTGGGAATTTAGTGTGAAAGAAAGAGACAAAACAGTTCCATAGCTAAAGTAGGTTTACGAGAGGTTTGATGTTACATTAACGCAAATCGATCATTGATATACAATGAAATTTACAATTTTTAAACAATTAACCGAAGTGTTTGATTTTAGTATTAATATAATGTAAATATAGATCGGTATTTAGTTTAGAAAACCTGTTTACAAAATTGTCTTTGTTATTCACTAATTACTATGCCAAGACAAGTAATGTATTTCTTTGGTAAGTATGTCTTTGTAACCAAAATATTTCCTGGAGTAAAGGATAGGGATTAATATATAGATACACTAAGAAGAATCCAGTTTATTGCATTGGATGATAGTCATATACATGCATTTACTGTACCGCGTACATACATTGTTGCACAACTGGCTGCATTGTAGTGTGGAAAATGATAAAGTCGATTCGTAAAAAAAATTGTCAAGCGTGTGTTGTACCTATACAATGCTTACATTCTTTGTTGTTGCTTACGAGTAGGTAATTTATTGACCTTAGCATTTTTTATTAAATTTTATTCTAGTTATAACCCCGCTTGTGCTAACGGGATACACTGGCGGAGCACCAGTGAAGGGTGATCGATGAGGATGAAAACAGGCCAGTTAGCCCATCATGATGAATTCATGTGGAATTAACCGTGATAGTTTCCAGGGGGAACCGCGAGGAGGTCGACCTGGTTGGGTATATTGCTAGCAATGGGATTCTTAGTCTCCATTACTAACAATCCCCTTCCCCCCATGGATTAGGGTCGAGTATCACAATATTTATATATTAGTCTAATGACGAATATGTTAAAAGTCTTTTATCCAAAAAATACATAAATGTGAACTGTAAAAATAAATTACATTTGTATTTTCTATTCATACACTTTTTCGACACTTTATTCTAGTTTTAACAGCTCAATTTACATATATTCAGATATGTAGATTTCGTGAAAGTCACATTTAAAATGTATACTTACGTAGTAAAACATATAGGACGCACAATTATATCATTGTACGTAAATGTTCAGTTTTTATAAAATGCAAGAAAGAAAAAAAAAACTATTGTGTTTACAAAAGTAAAGTAAGAAGTAAGATTGCTAAGTGGTTTATCTGACGACGGTACCCTAACAGACTTGCGCAGTTGCTTAGAATAAAGTTCAAAATGCGTCTGTTGGCAATAATTACGTGTCAAACTTTTTACCATTTTTAACTATGTAAAATAGATTTTCAGATAACTATCAGACAGGCCTCGTGTGAACCTATTTATCCTAAATCGATGAATAATATTCAACAATAATATTACTCGGTTGCGTGGGAAATTGATAACATTGTGTGATACCGAAATCTATTATCGTTATTGGGTGTCCTTTGGTTGTAACAATGTATTTGAGCTTAAGTTTTTGTCAATTGAAATATGAGTATTTGAATTTATGTCCAATAGAGGATTAGGAATTTATGTGCATTTATTATTGGTATATTGACCCCGTTCACAGACACCGCGGGTTCTGTATTCTATGGTCTCGTTACATCAATAAATGTAGACACATAGGACATATCTATTCTAAATCTTTGATTGGATCAGAGTTGATTGATAGAAAATACTAAAGATGTTGAGTATAAATTATATTCATTAAATAAGCATACATTTACATAGTTTTTATAAAACGAAGTTAAAAAAATTTAAGTGTTTATCATATAAGCACAATTTAAACATATCCCTGGAGAACTTCAATACTATGCTTAATGACCTTAATAGTGTTTCTCAACAGGTAGTTTTTAAGATAAACATGGCCACCTGTATTGTTTATGATTGAGAACAATACGCTCCTAGTTGTCTATTTGTTATATCTGGGACAACGTCAACCGAGAGGTTAATCAACGAATCTAACTCGGCTGGGCAGAAAACTAAGCATACTGCAGAGAACTATGCGATGTCTTCTCATTCAAAATACCTTAAACTTTGAACACAAAGATCTAACCTGTGTGTGTGGGGAGAAACGGATTGTTAGTATTGGGTATCTAACAACCCCATAGTTAGCAATATACCCTATCAGGCGCTACTCTTTATGAATTCGTCACTATGGGCTAACTGACTTGTTTCATCCTCATCTATCATCCTTCACTGGTGCTCCGCCAGCATATACCGATAGCGCAGGCGGGGTCACCATTCCATTCGCTCATTAAAAAAAAGCAGTGTGTGTTGCTTGTGATAACCTGTGATGGAAGCGAAACATAGTCCTGCATGGTTGTTCGTATGCTTCAACGAGCATCAAGAGTAAAAGCATCAAGCTTCAGCGAGCTATGGAGAGGGCAATGCTCGGATGTTTCTTTGCGTGATAGAATTTGAAATAAGGATATTTGTAGAAGAATCAATGACCGACATACCCCGAAGGATAAGCAAACTGAAGTGGCAATGTACTGATCAAATAGCTCGAAGAACCGACAACCGATGGAGAAGAGAATATATATAAGACTAAACTTTTATGGAAGTTAGCATCCAAATATACTATGATAGCGCGCTAGAAGACAAGTAGAAGATTTCTATTACTTGCCTATGTTACTCGCTGACCTTTCTATAGGTGAAAGAATTTTTAAAATCAGTATATTTTCTGTATGTATCCATTATAAAGTTATTGTGTGTGACTTTTCCTATAAGAGGAATATATTAGTTTAGGTTTACGTCACTATAAAATATATTATGCTGGCTATTAGCAAATCATAGGGCACTTTTTATGCAAATAATATGTCTTCTGGAAAAGCAGTTTAATCGATCAATCATAGCTTTGCATTTGTAGTCAAGATAGTTCCTTTTGCACTTCGCCCTAATGGGATCTTTTGTACTGTCCTTTGTCTTGTTCAACCAATATGTAAATTTTAGTCATTAGCTTTAGGTGCCTCGCGCTCTGAGATATCAGTAACAGTATTCTTTTGAATAAACCGTTTCCTTCCATAAGTACGTAATTTATCTGCGCATCTTTAATGAGTGTGCAGTTAAATTACGTACGTACTGTTAGTGTGGGGCATTTGTTTAATAAAAAACAAATCACAGACCAAAGTTATTTATTTAATATTTTTACACAATGTTCTATTATTGACTTATTTAATTTACATTGCACTTTTAACTTATTTGTAGGTCAACTTGATTCGAGATCTTTGGTTCAGGGTTTTATTGAGCCCGGATGATAAATCTAACTAGTTAATTTTATTAGCCAGACCAGCGGGCAGAAACCAGGTCAATGGCTGGGTAGCAATTTGGTTAGGTAAATTACGATTGCCTGATTTAGGGTTTGTGTGAGTTTATATAGGCATAATACTGCTGATTTAAATGGAAATAAATGATATTGCTATTCAGCAATATGTCTACATGCAATGGTTGTAACGATACGTATGAATCACAGTCGACTACGTTCCAACGATTCTGATTCCTCGTAGAAGAATATACAGCTTTTTATACAGCTGGATAAAATCATCCCTTACAAATCGTTTTAATTGAGTTCAGTTCTTGGTAATAAATAACGCCATATAACTGTATGGAATTTAACAAATCCAAGTTTATTATACAAATTGGATGCATTTACGTTTCCTGTCATACAGTAAGCAAACGAGTCTTTATTGTCTTTTAATCTATTATTGCAAACCAACTTAAGCAGAGTTTCTGCGTATCCTTTCTTTCTGTGTTCTGGTAGGGTGAACAAGTGTGTGAGGGCTCCGACTTCGTTGACGAGAAGCCAGCAAGCTAATTGATCGCCTTTGAACAGCCCGAAGCCCGACTTACTTGTAATTAACAGGTCTATGTACCAAGCGGAACTATCGTAACGGTTCACCCACGACGAGTCCACTAAATGTATGTGATCTTTTAACAGAGGTTTAAAGGTTATGCCTTCATGTAGACTGTAAATTAAAATTTAAATAAGTTAATGATATAATAGAATCCTTACAAATATGATGGGAAAGGAAGTTTATTATATCTTGGTTTTTTAACAGTTCAATCAATCGTTATAAAAATGAAACATGGGAAACACCAAGTCACGCACACACACACACACAAACACACGCACACGCACACGCACGCGCACACGCACACGCACACGCACACGCACACACACAAATATATGTATTTATATAAGTTATTATTTTATTACAACCAACAATATCTGTTTAGTAAATACCTGATGTTTTCATAAAGGGGACTTCGTTTGTCGAGAATAAAAATTTCGTGTCGACGTTCCTTTCCGGCTATTTTCATGTTTACATCTCCCAAAATATTTCCGATGCAATGCGTAATGTGACTTGGTGTAAAGGGCACAATAATAGATGTGCTCCAGTCTATCAACTTGGTTCTTTTAAGAGCTTCTTCGAGCTGTATCGTGTCGTCTTTCGGACATTGAATAATGATTTCATTAAATGTACTCTGTAAAAAAAATTACCAGTAAGTCACATTATCATTTCCAAATTTTAAGTTACAAGTACAAAAATACTATTTAAGAAAATCATCTCTGTTGTAGTATATTAGTGTCTTTATTTAAGTTTATATATCTATTTTTCTTAGATTATATAGATACGAGCGTCTCTATACAAATACTTTAAAAAAAGCAAGTCAACTTTTTCATACAATTGTGTACGCGACAGTGTTACCAGATTAGAAATTATTATTTAAGATTAGGGTAAAGATATCCTTAGTTTAATAGGTCGAGATAACATTAGTTTAATAGTTATATTTCAGTTATAGGATCACGTTATTTTTTTGTCTTTTAAAAAACATTAATCATGTAATTCAAAAGTTTTAAAAGTGTTAGTTGGTATACCAAAATTTATAACTAGCACTTAAGTACTTACTTTTTTATTGAATGCGACCATTCCATTACTCATATCGCCAAACGGACAGTAAACTTTAAAGTCATGATCAATTCCTATTTGTTTCCATTCTTTTTGAGTTTCCAGTGCATAATATGCAGATATTCCTCGAGGCCAAGTATCCATAAAAATAGCTTGAAGTTCTGGCCATTTTTCTAGTGGCAAGTATTCTAGTGAGTCTTGTTCAGATGCCGCCATAAAGTATTTAATTTATATTCAGTGAAATAAAGTAGGTATGTATATAGTCAACTAACGAGTAGTTAATCTCAATGTTTCACCTTGCTGTTGATGAGTAAGAATATGAAATTACAAATTACATAGAAACAAAGTATAAGTAAATGTGTTTTGAAAAATTAACACCGATACTGTTACTTTTAAATTGAAATAAAAATGAAAAGTTCCATAAAATATCGTAAAAATATAAAAACTTGATGCTTGTTAACGACAATGTAGATAGCGACTAATTATCCTGCTTATTTCTGTCTGACATGAATGAACTGGTGTTGCTGCTATATAGAAAAACATTATATCTATTTAATAATTTATAGATTTACTCAAATAATAATAAATAAATATAGAATTAATAAATATACTTACTTGTCTATTATAATAATACATTTATATTTTCAGCACTTTTTCATTTCATTAACAACAATAATCGAATTTTTACCTATTGATAAAATAAATACCTACAACATATATATTATAATAGTAACTGTGTTCTCAGCTCGATGTAACTTGATTATAAAAAATATTTTTACTATGCATAATTCAAGTAAAAGTTATGTGCACTACAGTTTACGTAAACTTGTACTGCAGTAGCATAAATTGTTGCTATGTTCACTACAAATTATTAACTAGCCTCAGATAAATCATGTTGGAGACCTTGGTGTATATATTTAATATTACAGGATTAAGTTTATGATTTAGGTATTTAGCGAAATAGTCGTCCCTTGACACCAAAAGATCAATACATGTTACTAAATTATATACAATAAATTATATAATATTGTTATTGAATACTTAGTATGGGAGAAAAGGGATTGTTAGTAATGGAAATATTAGGTACTTCTATTTTTTTAATGGATGATAATAGAATGGCAATCCCGCGTTAACGGTACACGCTAGCGGGGCACCAGTGAAGGATTTTTTTAATGGGTGATAATGGAATGGTAACCCCACCTGCGCTATCGGTATACGCTGGCGGGCACCAGTGAGGGATGACAGATGAGATTGAAAAGGCATGTCAGTTAGCTCATCGTGATGAATACACCTGGGATTCAGCAGGATGGTTTCCAGGGGGGACAATATGAAGGTCGACCGAGAGGGTATATTTCTAGTAATAAGGCTAGTAGTCCGCATTATTAATAATCCTTTTCCACCATATAAGTCGCATTGCTAGCAGTATACCCTATCAACTTCTACGTCGTTTCTTACTAGTGCCCCGCTACCGGATACCAATAGCGCAGACGGGGTTACCATTCTAATATCACCCATTAAAAAAAACTTAGTAGTAGTAAAATCTTTAGTGGAATCGTGTTATTTTGTTACATATATGTGATCTTGAAATTAAACTAAAGGAAAAATGGGCAAACTACAAAGCTAGAAGTAAGTGACTTTATCCTGTCTACAAAACATCCGAGTTTGATTAGAATGTTATTGTACGAAATAAGAGAGATTTCATTTTACAAGCTCGTCCGAGAGAAATAAATGTGAATCATGAAATACTATAGATGTAGTAAAATATCTTAGTGGTATACCTACAGCTGGACTACTCTATTGTATTGTATGAAGTCCCTCGTGGTCATGTTTGTTAGATTGTGTAACTTGTTTATAAGAGACATAATTTATCACAAACTTTATATCTTCTTTTTATCAAATAACAAAAAAATATTTTATAGTTTTAATTTATTAAAGAAAAAAGAAATAAAAAACAAGAAAGAAACTTTATTTTGCACAAACTTGCAACGGAACCCAAAGAGGGGTTAAAAATAATTAAAATAAAATAAATAAATAATAATAGTAATTATTAAGTACTATTAAAGTTACTACTCGTAGCATTAAGTAAACATTTTTTTTTCAAAAAAATCCAACCTAACTCGTCATACAGTTGAAACCCCATTTTGGTGTATAAATTACGTGCAATAGTGTTAGTAGCAACACTAAATATCAGCACATGTTTATTTTCCTGTAATCGCATGTTACAAACCAATTTTAACAATGTTCCTGCCAATCCTTTTTTCCTATATTGTTCTATAGTATATACGTGGGTTATAGCCCCTGTCTCATTAATAAGCATCCACGAGATTAAGTGTCCATTTTGAAAAAGGCCAAACCCAGATTTAGCTTTGATTAATAATTCAAAATACCAACTGGAACCTGGGTAACGATGAGGCCAGCATGAGTCGATAAGGTCTATATATTGTTTATTTAGAAGATTAAATGAAATGCCTGGTGGTAAGCTGAAATAATTACATTTCGTATTAGAATTACAATAATAATAATAATATAAATCCGAAGTTGAGTAAGAATATAATGCAATGAGGACTGAATGACTTGACTGTTATTAGACGTGCAAAAAGCCGAAGAATTTACTTTTATTTGAATTAGTCAAATAAAAGTAAATTTACAATATTGTTAATCGAACTGGGTGTTTTCATGCCACATGTATTCTTGTAAATCTGCTATAGATAGCTAACACTACGAAGGTATTTTTAGTAATGGAGTTTAAGGACTCCATTGCTAGCAATATATCCAACCATGTCGACCTTCATGTGTTCGAGACAATTCAGAAAAGTTTATTTTTTAAATTGGTCCAAATGAGAATTTAAGTCTGGACTTCATTTACGCAAAGCAACATGTCGGCTACTGCGTCATGGAGATCGTCACATTATAATTTAAACATCATATGTTTTTAAGAAAATATAAACTAGGTATTTCACTTACTTAACATCTTGATAGGGTAATGTATCTTTATCTAAAAAGAAAAGTACTGATGGAATAGTGTGGTATATCTCTGCTTCAATAAATTTTACGACCTCTTTAACACATTCAAATATATGACGTGGGGCAAATGGTATAGTCACATGTCGGTCCCAGTTTATGATTTTTGTATCTTTTAATGCCTTTGCTAGTTCATCGGTTTCGTTTTTGGGACACTGAATTATGACCTCGTATGCCGTATTCTGAAAATCAACACTGTTCATTAATAAGTATAGCAATTACTAGTTGATTTTCATATTTATTACATAATTAAATTATTAACACTTTAATTATATAACAAATATGGCAATTATATACAGTCCACCTGATGGTGAGCAGTTACGCCAGCTTATGAACTTTTGTAACATATACAATAGGGTCCTATAGTGCTATAGCGCTAGATAAATACACTTTTGCTAGTGCAGGTGTAAAATAGAACGAGACAGCAACCTCTGGTGTCTTGTTCATTCTCGTGGGTAACGAAAATATATCTAGTGTTAGATTCGTTTGCCATTTATCTAGGAGGGTAGATTTGTTTATTACGCGTTGCGGGCTCTTGTAAAATTGCTCAAAATACCGTAGCCACACATGAATACACTATGATAAATGTTATAAGATTCAATACAAGGTATGTTTTTACACTATAATATTATTATGCTAAAATTATAATAACATTTAAAGAAAAGAAAGAAAAGAGGTTTGTTTGAATCGAAGCATTTGGCGTTCCATTGTTTCTGCCTACCCTAATGGGAGACAGGCGTGACAGCTATGTATGTATGTATGTATAACATTTAAACTCATAGCATAATGTTTCTTAGTTTTTACCTAAAATGTAATAAACACTAATTGTTTTTTAATTTACCTAGAATGTGGAGAGAAAGGGCAACTTTTCAACTAGTTAGTGACTAAGGAAGATCATTACGAATTTTCTAATTCAATTTTAATCACTTACCTTTTCGTTAATAGCCACCATTCCGTTAGAAACATCCGCGTATGGACAATACACGTTAAAGCCATGGTTTATACCGAGATTCAACCACTCTTTTTGGTGCTCCAGTGAAATATATCCAGGGAAACTTCGTGGTAAATCATTTTTCAAAGTATCTTGCAGTTCTTCCCATCTTTTAACAGGCCAGTATCGCAATGGTTCACTCATTTGTTTCTTTGCACGACAAGCGACGAATGAATGAAATGTCAATTGAGTTGCGTAATTATCGTTGTCTGTGTCCTTAACACAGAAATAACTGTTACTATTAACATTGCAATATTCTTATCAAGTTCATATAAGTACAGACTTATTTATATAATACATGTGTAGGTGTTTAATGGTTAATTCTGTACCTATCTGTCGTAGGGAAATGATGGTATAAGAGATTTTTTTTTAAACAATTAGGAAGAAATATTATGGTCGAATATTTCAATCTGTTATGTCTTTGTCGCAGGTGAAATGAGACGACGACATTGATAAGGATATATATTCCGATTGGATTATAACTAACTCTCAAGTGACTAAGAACTGACAATATTAACAAATAAAAATGATCTTATATACTAAATACAAATATAGGACATTAAGATAAAAATGGTGGGGCGACACATTAACCTAATATCTACGTGCAGTGCTAAAATAACAATTATTAACAGATGTCAGGAAAATATACAACAATACTGTTATTGTTAAAACACGTGTTATTAGTGGTGACATCTATAATGAAATATTGTTACTCTTAGTAACAATATTTCAAGTAAAATTTTTATGCTTTGTTTTACGCTAACCGATTAATTTATCTCTAGATGTCGCTTTATTTTCAAATAGAAAGAAGAGTGTAAAATATATGTACTACTACATTGGTTTCTGTTTTTTTTTTTTAAATAAATTTTAAGGATTTATTATATTAATTGACTGTGGGGTCCCGGCATAGAATACGCCATCCATTCCTTTCCCGTGGGTGTCGTAAGAGACGATTAAGGGAGCTTAATGGTCGACAGATAGGCAACAGTGTCCCTCTTAAAACATCTCTAAAGTCTAACCGCAGTAGACAATCCGCCTGCCAAGCGTGGCAACTACTGGCAAAACCCCTCAAGGGGGACGTTTATGTTCAGTAGTGGACAGTCAAAGGCTGATATGATGATGATGACTATTATATTAATTTATTAAATAATTTTTGTAAAATACATTTTTTAATCATGTTGATTTTTCTTTTTCAACTGAATTAGAAAAAAGAGGTTTACAAATAGTTTTTTTTTGTATATACAATGCGATACCTCCACTAATTATATACAAACATGATTGTGATGATTATTTTTCGCCAAAAGCGTTTATTCCCATATTAGATCCATATTTATTATTTTCGATAATGCACAGTTCTTTACTTATAAAAGAATTGTTTATATTTAATACTATTATGATATTATTATACTTAACTAGAAGGGTTGCCATAATTGAATTGGTAATGGCCGACTTCAGTACATTAATACTAAATACTATTAAATAATAGATACTAAAATAATACTTGATAATTTTATTTCTGTTAATATTATATAATGACAGAGAGGGTTTCCCAAAGAGGGTCGACGTCAGGCAGGCGACCGGTCGTAAAACTATAAGCCAAATCTTTTTGTAATATGGATAAAAACATTACGCCAACCCCATACAATAATTGGGATAAGGGTAGGAAGAAGAAGATGATGTTTATATAATGACAGAGTTGACACATATTTTCACTCAACAAAAATATACATATAATAAAAATACAAATATACAATTTTAAACACTTAATAAATCAACATCATTCGTGTTTTGATAAGAACACCCATGAAACTTGTCCTATGGGTTCAAAACCCATTTTAACAAACATTTTTTGTGGTTTATAATTTTTTCCTAATGTGTAAACAAGGACGTGTCTTCCTTTGTTTAGTAAATCGTTTAAAGCTACTTTGGTTATGAATTCTCCGTAACCTTTATTTCTTTCTGATTCTATACAGTAGAGGTGAGAAAGAGATCCACATTCGTCGATGTTGATCCAAGCGATGGGCTCGTGTTTATCTGAATACAGTACGTAACTTAAGTTGTTCTCCATCAATCTTTTGAAGTAAGCGAAGGATGTATCGCTCTTGAAAGTCCACGCTTTATCGATGGTGTCTATATGTTCTGGTTTCAGTGGCCCGACATAAGTATTTGGTGGACAACTATAAAAATAATACATTTGAAGAGAATTAATGATTAATGAAGTTGATGTTATATATTTTATTTTTATTTGAATATTACTGTCTAAATTATTTCTAGTTTATATAACATGTCTAGACTAAATAACTTAGTGATTATTTGCTCTGTGGTCTAGACAGAGAAATGAGTCTCGAATTGTCATATAATCGATCGAGACATGTCAAAGACATTAGACCACTGTTATACATAACACAAAATATACTATACAGCAAAAAAAAAACATAGTATTCTATTAAGGGAATATTTTACCCATGAAATTTAACTATTTGTCTTTATACAAAGGTACCTATTAGTGTTAGTAATATATAATTTGAATCTTGGAACAAAACTTCTCCCTTAGTAAACATATTAATTTTTAAACAGGATAGGATGAAATTGCCTATTTTTTTCTCTATAATACGTAATTATATCAATATGGCTAACTTTTGATAACTTTTTGTAATAAATAATGTTTAGTCCGTAAGGTTAATGTTACTTTGGTATAACAGTGATTTCGTCATCATTACATTCGCTATTTTTTCGGAGCAAATTTTTTAATTATTACCTGATATCATAAGGGCGCGTATTTTTGTCTAAAATATAATCAAGGACGTCGTCATCGTATTTAATATTCACATCTAGTTGCTTGCATACTCTTTTCAAAGATTCCAATGTGCTCCACTTAACTGATGGCACAATAATCAAACGGCGATTCCAGTCTATTAATTTAGTATTGAGCAGAGCATTTTCTATGGCTGACAAATCATCGTTTATTGGAAATATGTATATTTGGTATTTTTCCTGTAACAATTTTAAATTAGTTTTTAAAACCAAATATCGATTTAACGAATGAGACGAATGGATATCTAATAAAAATAATTTTACTTAGTAATTAATATTTGTGCTATATTTTAAATGTTTTTTATAGGTATTTATTGTTGACTACCCTTTACAGTTCTTTGACAAGAAGAACGTGTAATGAAATCAGACAGATAGATATACGTTTAATAATAATAATTACAAGCATAGACGACAAAATAGTTTCATGATATTAAAAAATAATCCATTCAAATTTTTGACATTTTTAAAACGGATATCTCTTGCAATGGTTACTATTATCCATAAAGTAGATAGTCGGCTACTTTGTTATTCCAAGTTATATATATCAAAGTATATATGGAATATAAATATATAATATAGATGGAATATAAAAAATATGTATATAAAAAAATTACGTACTAGTACGATTAGATTTTTTTTAATGTATTAAGTGCTAAGAGATGTGTTTTAAATATTTGTATTTAAAAAGTTTAAGATTACAGTACTTACCGTAACACTAATAGCCACTGTACCATTACGAATGTTACCATGAGGGCTATAAATGTTAATATTGAATTCATTAGTTATCCGTGGACAGGATATTTGGCTGTCTAGGAAACAATACGCTTCCGCTACTCGCGGCCAATGAGTTCGGTACAAGTCTCGAAGTTCCGGCCATTGATCCCGTGGGATTTCTACTAGTGGCTCCATAATCTATAAAAAAATAAGTATTAAACTATCAAATACCTTAAAATGGCCGTGTAGTTCCGTCACAAAATAGACCACTTATTCCTTTTCCGTGGGCGTCGTAAGAGATGACTAAGAGAAGTTAATGGTTAACGGATGAGCAGCAGCGTCTTTCTCAAAACATCACCAAAGACTAACTGCAGTTGCGAACACGCCTGCCAAGCATAGCAACTACTAGCAAATCTCCCCTTTATGTGGGAAACCTATTCAGCAGTGAACAGTTAACGGCTGATGTCATCAATTTAATGTATTAAGAGATAAACATATTATTAAAGAAGTAAATAAACAACTATACTTACGTATAACTATTTCAAAACTATTTATCTATAAAAAAAACTTAATTGTGTTCAAAAATCCATAAACGTTTTGTAATTCTCTTTATCTATATTTAAATTACATAATTCAATACAATTTGTTGCAGAACAATCGTCACAGTAGGTACTGGGTTTGTGAATGAAACGAATTAAAGTACATTAGGTTAGAACTTTTTATCATTAACTTATCTTTTGATATTACAGCTGATTCGAATAATACAAAAGCAAATATGTAACAATTTTATGCATCACTCAGTAATATGATGTCGCTATTTGCACTTGCTTGGCTGTTTGCTCGCGTATTTCTTCTAAACGTTTAAGCATTAGGATTTGATAGTAGCAAGAACTATCGGCTTATTACCAATATAGGGTACCTTTATATTTCTAACGGTCTTTCCCGCGGAAACCATTGGGGTAAATTTTTAGTGAATTCATCATTCCTTAGTACCTATAGTCTTCAATATAGCGTATTAAGATTTCTTAAGGATCGGCAATGCGCGCGTGACATCCCTTATGTTACATTTACCCTGATGTAACTCAGTCTACCATCAGATAAGCCGTGAGCTTGTTTTTTAGGTACTTGTTTGCCACTTTAGCGTTATAAAAAAAGTCATTAGTGTTCTGCCTGGTTACATTTCATTGCAAAAGTTCCAAAGAATATACTACTTTCAACGAATAGACTAATAAATTTTAGCAAATAAAATATTGAGATGGTTACGGTAACGATAGAGAGCTAAGGTTCCAGAAAATTTTGTGTTGATAATGTTGATTTAGATAGGTAGGCATATTAGAGCGATAATGTTGGATTATCAGTATAGTATGCCAATCGTATTAGGATTGTCGTTATCAAACACATGTAGGTACTTACATACAGATCAGTTATATATTATTATGTATACTTTGATAAGGTATTAACAGGTTGCCATTATGGTTTATAATAATAACAAATTACCTTTACTTAGTTACTAATTATTGTTAGTTAATTTGGTAATTCTAAATTTGGTATAATCTGTAATCTTGCATCTACAATTTATAATTGCGTTAATATATTCATATGTTATTAGCTATTTTCCGCGGCTTTGTCTACGTGAATATGCGTTAAGTTAGGATGTAACTTACCCGTACAAACAATTTCATGCAAATCCGTTCAACCGTGATGGAACAACAAACATTCAAACTTCCAAACAATTTTACAAACTTTCACATATATAATATTGGTACTCGTGCGATAAGATAGGTTTATGTTATACTAGCGACCCGCCCCGGTCTCGCACGGATGGAAATTGAGAATAGATTTCATTATATGTATAATAAACTTTTTGGAAAATATCTTTTAATTACAGTAATAGCCGTATCAAAAGTAACAAATAAGCAGACACGGAGAGTGACGTGAGTTTTATTCTAGGTATACAGATAAGAGCCTTTGAACTAGGATTTTTTCAATTATTTCAAACAGAAGATTGTCAATTTGGTTGTTTTTGTAATTGTTAACTAATATCCGAATAACGGGGAGATTGTAAATATCGTTTTTAATCATAAAAAATAAATTTTCAACCGATTTTAAAAAAAAGGAGATTCTCAATTCGGTTCAATTTTTTCTATTTGTTACCTCATAACTACGTCATTTCTAAATCGATTTGGATTTTTATCTGAAAGAATATACTAATAGATTGGTTCCATGCATATTTTTTTTTGTGAGAGACACTTTAGTGACGTTTACATGATATATAATATCATGTAAACGGCACTAACAATAAAACATTATAGTGACATCTACAATAAGAGTTAAGAACTAGGAAATGTGTATTACTTCCGTTATTACACAGATGTCGCTTGCATTTAAAATACCTATGTTTGACAGGAAATGAATTTCTTGTCATTACATTATTATTATACCTAAGCAATTGGGGGGAGAGAAGAGATTACTAGTAATGGGGTCTAACAGCTCCAGAACTAGCAATATCAGGTCGATCTCCATGGGGTCTTCCGTGGAAATAATCGTGGTTAATTCTTGAATTTATTACGATGGACTGCTTTCGCCTTTACTGACCATATCATCACTTACAGGTAGCCCGCCAGTATATACTGATAGCGCAAGCGGGACAATCATTTCATTTTCACCCATAATACCTAAGCCCTTAATTGTGATATTTCTGGTATATTATTATTTCCTTTCTTAACAGTATTAATAATTATTTTAGGCAATATAACGACAGTGACATCAAAGAATATCACTTGCTCTATAGTGGTTTACTTATAATCCCAGATCTATAGTCTGTTTTAATAGAATTTAATAATAATATAATCAAACGAATAACTTTAAATCTTAGATTATAATCAATGGTATAAATAAAAAGATTAATTGGTTGAAAGTTTCGATTTGTTACTAATTTTATTTAAAGAGTGTTTCTGCGATAATTGTAACAAAAATTTGTTACTTTTTCTTTATGTTGAAATAGAGTATATATACTAGGAGGATTATATAGGTACGTGTAATTGTTTCTGATAACACATTATAGTACTTTTGAGCAGGCTTTTAAGTTGAAATAAATATAATAGAGATCCAAATATAAACCATTTTAAGCAAAGCACTGTTTTTATTAAAATGTTTACAATAACCATATAAATAGCACAATCAATGTAGATACATAAATTAATTTATTAATAGACAATTTTATCATAATAAAAAAAAAGCTATTTTTTTCACTAATAAAGATTATCAGGAATTTATATTTTCTAAGTAATAACTTTAGGTGGAATCTACTTGTAATTTTAATTCCTATGCTTTTACCTACTTACCTAATATAATAACTATACAGTATTTACATAGAAACAATAACCTAACCTTTATTTGAGATTGAAAGATAATAATTAACTAATATGTTAAACTGTCAATTGTTTTTACTTGCCAGGTTTCAAAACCGTTTCTCCCTACAGTTTATTTTAAAGAAATATTTTAGCAATGTCTATTTATGTTCTGTATAATTAAAATAAATTATAATTTTTTTTTATCTACATACATTTTTTATACCTATATAGATACTTACTTGTATAGACTACAAGCACTGGAATTTTGTATCTTTAACAGTTTCTTTTTAACATAATATATCTAGTAATATCAGCATAATGGGGAGATTGTAAATAAAGTCTTCTTTAATTATAAAAATGTATTTTCAATCGATTTCAAAAAGAAGAAAGTGCTCAATTTGATTGTATTTTTTTTTCAATATTTATCGTCTCATTACTCCGTTAGTTGTGAATCGATTTGGTTTTTTTTTTTATCTAGAAGAATATATTTACAGATTATTTTCTTAGAAATTTTATCAAAATAAGTTCAACAGTTTAGTTTTTTAATCAAAATTACTGATTTTACCAAAATTCAAGTCTTTTTGTGTAACACAATCTTAGTTCCATCTGCTTCCGTTACGCTTCCATTTTGCAAACGCTATGAGGTAACAAACAAACAAATAAGACAAGAAATTGTTGTCATATTTATAATTCAGATTGTAAATATGACAGCAATTTCTTTTGGTAAAAATCATAAATTGCATCTGGCAACCCTGATTGTGTTGTCAGTTTATAACGTTTTTGTATCCATAGTCATGAATAAATTAAAAAAAAAATGACAGTTTATATTGTGATATAAAAAAAGTTATCATCATATCTGTTGTTTTAATTAGTAAGAATTCTGGCTAGCTGTATAAGAAATGAATATTTTATTACCTAACTACGTACCTAAATTATAGAAATGTACGTCTATAATTGGAATACGAACAGAATACGACGTGAGATGAAATGCTGTTAATTGAATTATACGTTGTCAGACGACAAAACTTTACTAATTAGGGTACGAGTGGGGATTGCTTCGAGAAATAATTTATCTACGCAATGCAAATTGTACGTAGATATCTGAATATAAATGACTAGCGATCCGGCCTGGCTTCGCACGGATAAATAGGATTTTCGAAAATAATATATAGCCTATGTTACTCACTAATAATATAGCTATTTGAAAGTGAAAGAATTTTTAAATTTGATCGAGTAATTGATTTTATCTATTACAAACAATAAAATTTTTCCTGTTTATAATATTAATAAAGAAAGAAAGAAGACAAAGATTGTTGAATCAAAAATAATTCATTATGTTTAAGGTCTAATTATTTTTAATACCCATCACAATTTGTCATTATCTTTATTGAAAATATATCTATAAGAAAATCGTAGAGAATAATTTATAAACCTTCAAAAGAAGGAAGTTCTCAATTAGTTTGATTTTTTTTGTTGTTATGTTATGTTACGCGATTATATCGCCAATTCTCAACCGATTTGTATGATTATTTTGTAATTTTAAGGCTACTTGTCGTTGCGATTCACGCACTTACCGCAGACTTTATCACCGGGCCAACATAAAAGCGTGATTGTGAATTGCAATAAGATTTATTCCCATTTACTTCCATATTAATTTTCTAAAGATCCAAGACACGTTTTTTTTTGTAGAGTAAAATTTATTAAATATGATAATATTTATGTAATGTGCCCACGGAACATCGCATTGTTCATGTGTGCGTGAGAATGTGCATGAACAGTGTATGCATGTGTATATACATCACTCTCTCTTTCTTTTTCCTTCAGTGTATATATTCGAGTGAGATGCGTTTGCGTTTCTCTGCGTGTTCATGATTTAAGTAGGTGTTGCAAAGCAAAGAGTACTTATACCTATATATATATATATATATATATATATATATATATATATATATATATATATATATATATATATATATATATATATATATATATATATATGTAAATATTCATTATCAACATTAAAGATATTTACTGACTTCCACATTTATAATACAAATTTTTACCTGCGACTTCGTCCATATGGCCAGAATGTTAATTGACTGGGATAAAATGTCTATGGTTTTTTTTATCCCAAACAGTATATGTATAGTTATACAAATTTCATTATAATTAATTGAGCCATAAATAATATACCTACACTAATACAAACAAACACACTTTTGCATTTAAAATATTAGTAAAGATTAGTATGACTTTATACGGCCGTAATAATGTATTATTGTTATTTGTGTTACATTTTAATTAACATTAACAATACTCTA